CCCAGAGTGAGCCCGGTTCCCGAAGCGGACGTGTGGATTTTTCCACGGCCGGGAAATGCTTCCTGCGTGTCCTTGTTGTTTTTTTTGTGTGTGTGTGTTTCCCTTGTTGGTTTCAAGGACACCGACCACTAGAATGTGAACAACAAAAATGTTTGTGTTTCCCTTGTTGGTTTCAAAGGCAACCGACCACTCAAAGGGCTGCGCCGAGTGAAGCGACTCCGCGCTTTCAAATCGTTTATTTTTGCGCGGGGGAGCTTAAGCAATTGGAGGGATATCAGAAGATACTTGTTCCTTCCAGGCCTGCGTGACATTTCCACATGTCCGACTGTCCCACCCACAATTTATTTGTTTCAGCAGTCATGGCCACGAATGGAAAACAAGAAGGCAGTTGACCATATGGTTCTGCCTCCAGGTCCTCTGCAAGCGACATACAAAAGTCACGGACTCTTCCATAAATGTTCTAGATATCCTTTTGTGGACACAAGGTTAAGAGTATTCGGAGGCTGCCCCCCCCCCATTTTCTCATATCCCGCCATTTGCTTAAGCCCCGTGCAGAAAGATAGGTTTCTGCAGTTTCCTTTGCAGCCAACAAGGGGCCTAGAATCTTGGTGGTTCGCAGCCGTCCCCTTAGGTTTTCAGTTGTTTTTGGTTGGTTTAGTGGAAACAACTAGTCACTTTTCGCAGGGCATCAGAAAATTTGCAATCCAACGGCATGCGTTTTGCGCCGCACGGTCTCGATGGTGGGGGGTTTGAGTCGAAGCGTCGAAGCGAGGACAGCAAGACCTGCGCCAGCGAGTCGTACTTCCGGGTGTGCGAGCAAGGAGTGGCGCCCACCGCCTGCTTCCAGCCGAACTTCGGCAAGGCCGGGGGGGGGTGGTGGGGGTGGGGGTGGGGGGTGGGTGGGGGGTAGGGGGGGTTGTGGGCGGGGGGGGGGGGGGTGGGGGGTAGGGGGGTTTGTGGGCGGGGCGCCGCCTCGCATCGGAACGCGTCTTTCACTAGAATCGGAACGCGTGTGTGGGACCCGTATTTTGCTCAATTCGGAACGCGGTTTCCTCATGTCTTTTTTGCATGGAGACGCTGGTTTCCTGGTTTCCTGGTTTCCTGGTTTCCTGGTTTCCTGGTCTCCTGGTTTCCTGGTCTCCTGGTTTCTTGGTTTCCTTACCTCCTGGCTGCCTGGTTTCCTTGCTTCGAGTGGAACTTTCAGTCCACTAAAAGTTAGTCACTTTTAGCGGGGGATCTGACACTAAAACTTGTAGCCCGGGATCCGAGGGCAGCCCAGGAAAAAGAAACGGTTCGACTCCCCAGGCCCACGGCCGCGGCAGCGCCTTCTGGAGCCTCACCTTCCGCCCCAGCGGCGCCGCCTGGCTCTCCGCCGGCACCGGGCGCGAGGCGTCGGCGTGGGCGGCGGTGCAGCCCTTTGATGCCGCGGAGTGCGACAAGCCGCTGCGGGCGCCTGGGATTTCTTCCTTTTTTCTTTTTTCCGGGCTGGTCAAAGATCATCCTCAATCCATACCTGAGGTTAGGCAAGGGGTTTTCTTGTAGGGTCTTCCCTGATTCGGATTGGACCCATTTTGAACAGCCAAGCTTTTGGTGCGACAGGGGGAATGAATCCCTTTGCGACCTTTGGTCCATTTCTAGTGACTTCAAATTCCTTTTGTTGCCGGGTCCTTTGGGCTGATCTTTTTGGCTTTTTGGTTGGGTGTTGCGATGGGTAGGATCCCACTGAGCCCACGGTCAAAGGGAACTGAGGCCATCTCCATCGTGGTTCCATTTTCCTTTGATACAAAAGGCTAGATACATCTATCTGGGGACCCCCCACCCCCTTCCCCTTAAGGTATATGTGGGATGGGTAGGGGATGACCTTCTGAGTTCGGGTCGTGGAAATGAGCTGGAGTTCTCTTGAAGGATTTTCCACTCAGGATGGTTTATCAGGGTCATTCCAACTCATTCCCTGCTGAGAACCAGCAAGTTGTGTGGGTGCGTTGATTCGTTGAGGGTACTTGGGTGTTCGTTGGGTTAGTAAGTGGTCCGCATCCTAGGTTTAAGCCCTTTACAAGGCGCACTGCACTTGGGGTAAAAGGGAAACCAAGAGGAAAACCTAAGCGGTTGATTGATACAGCTGTTGTTTGTATCATTGCTGGTTTTTCAGGGAATCTATCTGTAATTGCTGGAAATATGGTACTTTTTTATCCAGCAGGCTTCAGAAAATGGAAGGTTAGGAACGGCCCCGCGCTGTTGAGTTAGTTTGCTTGGCAGGGGCTGCCGAACAGCGCAGATGTAGCGCCATCTCAGGGAGAGCCGGAACATGCCCCGCTCATTCCACTAGCTCCGTGAATCCCAATTCCCCCTGTTAGTAGGTAGCTGGTTATGGTTACCTAATTTAGGGTGGACATTTGACCTTTGGACCCACATTGCTTTTTCTGGGACCAAGTTTCTACCTTTCCTCGCAAAAAAAAGGGGGGGAGGCGGGCATTATCAGGCCGCAAGAGCCTTTTAAGGGCATATGTGGGGCTCCCCCCCGAGGAGGAATATGGGTAATGCTTTTCTAAGCCAAAAAGGGCTACCCTGCACATCACCGGGGCTGGGGGGAGGGGGGCACCCTTTGGCCAGTGCTAGGTCTGTTGACCAAGGGGTTTCTTGCCGGTTTTTCGCTTAGCCGGGTGTCCTTGTCTAAAGGCGAAAGATGTAAGAAGGCGTTCCGCGTGGGTCTGGTTATGTGGGTTGATCGCTCTCTCATCCTAACTGTTTGCTGGTGTGAGATCTTCCGAATTTCGGAAGATTTGCACCGCGCACCCTACAAACTGGGAAACCCCCACCCTACCTTCAGAATCTAGGTCCCCCAATAGTGCCCTTTTACCCCTTTTTGGGGCAGGGTACCCTTATTCTAACCTCTCCACTGGAGGACCTAGGAATCTTTTGGACTCGCTCCGCTTTAGTTCAATCGTACCTCTCCAGCAAGGCCACGGTTGCACGAAAAACCTCAAGCCCGCCGCCGGCCCTCTTTCGACCCGAGGCATTCAAGGAGGCCCGCGAATCCTTGTCGCTGGCGCGCCAGCGTATGCTCGACACCTGTGCCTGACTTCCTGACTGCCTGGCTCGCTGCCCCCCACGAGTGGCACCTGTGGAGACTCAAGAAATCCAACGGAAGGGCACAAGACCCCAGACTTCCAGGGCCCGCCTTTCCCTTGTGCTTTGGAGGGGGTGCCTGTAAGGGGATACTTTTTTTGGAGAGTCGAATTGCAAGGGGAGCCGATAGGCCCGCCATGGCCCGAAAATGAGCTTTTCTGCCCCTTCACCAAGGTGCCGCAATTGCTCCCTCTCACTCCTTGAGTTCATGGTTTTAAGCATATTGGGACAACCATTCAGTGGTATACAAGAAGTTGGGAGTTTGTTTGGGGCCATCCACTCAGGAAGTGAGCTTTGCTGTATGGCCAAGAGGGCCTGTATTGGCTTCACAAAGCTGCGGATGAAAAATATGGCGGCAGAACAGCTCCCTCCTAGGCCATCCCGACGTCTTCGCGAGAACTCCCCGCCGGTTTCTGACGCGCCCAAACGGTTTTCTCGCACGGAAATCCCGAGCCCATGCCACTGATTGTTAATTTGGACGTATCGGACCACGTAATGCGAGCCGACTAGAAACAACGTGTTCAAAAGAGCGGGTCCGTCAGAATGGAAAGTATATTTCAAGAGAACCTGTCAAAATTTGCTTCCAAGGATAGCAGGGTTTGGCTCCAGCTAGTTTGGTTAACATTTATAGTATAGACTAGTCTGGTTGAATTCATATCAGTTGTGACACCATGGCATTTGTTTACTTCCTTGTCTCTAGGGCCTCCCTTAAAACTCAACCACCTGATCCCCCCCCCGACTCAAAACCAACTTGTGAGCTGCTTGCATCTGCCATCCAAGGAGTCGGTTTAAGATGTCATTTTCGGGGTGGGGGCCTCAAGCAAAATCCCGAATGCTTACCTTTCGTTGCGCAAGGACTTGTTTTTCTTCGTGGCTTCCAATGGAATTGTTTCAGCACAAACTCGAGCCCTTTTTAACGGCCCAGAAACAAAACATTTCCGGTCTTCCTTCTGGTTTCCCTTGCGAACCCCAGCTTTTTCTGCTAGTCGGGGACGCTTCCCCCGCATTATAGCGCTTGGTGAAAGGTCCAAATTTGGGTTGCAACATCTGGGCCTAGCGTCCCTGAGTCCTGGACATAGAAACCTGTTGGGCAGACGATTTTGAAAGGTGTTGTTTGCTTCTTCTTTTTTTTCGGCCAGTCCACTCAGGAAGTCAGTATCCAGTCACGAGCCCATGTTGAAGAACCCAAGAATCTGACATGCATTTTGAGTAGCAAAGTATGTTGTACTACCATACCATGGGTTGGAAAAGCTCCTGGCTTGCCTAGAGCCCACCTTTTGGTTTCCTGGGTTGGCCCACTTTTGGCTTCCAAAATTCCCAAGAGTCCCCAAGGGGCAATTAAGCAATTCGACCATACTTCTAGGGGTACTTTCCCCATTGTTTCCAGGGTTCCTTTTTTATAGAAAAACTGCATGTGGAAAACAAAAGGTGACAAGAGCCTTGGAACTATACTTTTCCCTGCTTTTCAGGGGGATCGATCACTGCCGGAGCTTGGCTCGGACAACCAGGTCCCCCAGCTAGGTGCCCTTCTCTCCCCTTTTTTGGTTGGGAGGGTTCCCCTGCTAAAATAGACAACAATGAAAAAAAAAGTGGTACCAACTTATTCTAACCTCTCTACTGGAGGACATAGGCAGGAGATGTCAGATGGTGGCAAAATCCCGAAAAATCGCAGCACTTTGAAACCATGGTTGACACCACTGTTGGTTGGTCTTTTGGGACCTAGGACAAACCTTAGGACAAAGCAGGACCTAGATCCGTCCCGTGGGCCATCTAGGCTTTCCTAAGGAGAGGCGTCACCGGGCCAGAGGTGAATAGATCCGTCCTGTGGGTAGGACAAAATCTCGGGATTTGTTTTTTGTTGGTTTTTTCCTCAGGTGGTGCACCTGGAGCGGGTCTGGAACCCCGCCTTGGAGCGCCAGGCGCGCCTTCGGCTTCGGCTTTGGGGGCTTTGGGGGGGGAAGTTGGCCTCCTCCGAAACGAGAGGGGTGGGCCGTTTTTTGTTTTCTCCCTCTTGTTGGTTTCAACCCATTTATTATTAGTATTGTTATTGTTTGTTGTTATGACTCCCGAGTTCATGGACTTGAAGACTTGGGAAGACCGTGGTGGGCTTCAGGGATCCCAACGCCCGGGGAGGGGTCTGTCTCCACATCTTTTTTGGCCAGGCCGTTTTTGAGGGTGCCCTTGTGGTGGTTTAAAGGGGATGCCACGTGGGTCTTCCTTTCAGGGTGCCTAACACCCCGCGCCTTGAAGGGGGACCCCGGCTTCGCCGAGTTTCGTGGTCTCTCCGTGCTTCAAAGAAGTCCAGGGATTTGAGCTGTGGCCCAAGGACGCCTTTTTCGGGCGGGGAGTTTTCGCTCGCGACATGCGACAGGCTTGGTGTCCTCTTGAGTCACTGCCTGTGTTCCGGAAAACTCGCCCTTGTCCAAAGGCGGAAAGACGTGTTGAAAGAAGGCGTTCTGCGCGGGTCCGGTTGTGTCGGTGCTTTTATGGAACCTGGTTTGTTGATCGTTTGCGGGGGCACCCTCATCCCAAATCTTTGCTGGTGTGAGGTCTTCCGAATTTCGGAAGATCTGCACCGCGCACCTACAAACGGGACTCAAGAGTTTTGGGTTTGGGACCATGTTAGTGGAAAGCGCAGCAAGGTTGGACTTTGTTTGGGCCATCCACTCAGAAAGTGGGAAAAGGGGATCTGTTTTGAGAAACACCCACTCGGGTTTTCGGCCAATTTTACCAAGTCATTATTGACCTAGGTTGTAGCTGTTTTTCCTGTGGTCCCCCCTCGATTTGCTGTGAGAATGTTGTCGGGCAGTAGGAAAGAGGAATGCTGGGAAAGATCTGCACCAGAGCACAAGGAAACTACCTTTTTGGGGCAAAGGACCCCAGATCCCAGTTTCCCAACTCTTCTCCTTTTGGTTTCTTCTATCCGGTGGTTCCCTTTGCTACTTACGGATTTACTGGGTTTTCTTGTGGACATTTGGGTGCTTCCCTTGGAGCCATTCAAAACATCTTTGGTTCCATGGCGCCAAGTTGCTACATGGCGCATAAGCCCTGAATAGCTGTCAGTTGCTTAAGATCATGTGAGTCACATGCTCAAAACCCGGGGATTGATGAAGGTTAAGGGACAATCCCAACCAGAAGTAGCTGCGGAGATCCGCCTTCTTAATTCTTGAAGCATGGTTCTGGGTCGACCATTTTAATACCGGGTTTTGCTTGTGACTCATGTGGGAAAGTGGGGGGGTATCCAAATTTGCGTTTGGACACGGAGCTAAGGAGCTAGCAACGGAGTCTGTAAGGGAATGGATGCATTCACTGGACAACAATGGGAAGAACCCTCTAGCAAGACGAGCGCCAAATGTTTTTTCTTCGCCGAAGCGCTTCAGCAGGCCACCAGCCGGGTCCACCGCCTGACTTCGCGGTTCCCGGTGAAGGCGTATTGCCTCTATACCAAGGCGGGAGGGCGGGTCAAGGCGCAGGTGGCGAGTTAGTCCATACAGAAAGTGCCAATGGCGTCCTTTTGGTTTTCCTTCAAGAACCACAAGAACAAAAGGTAGTTTGTTTTTTCTGTTCTTTTTTGTTTAAAGCAGACCCATATGTAGCAGATGTGTTTTTTCGGGTGTGTTTGCAACTTGGCCACCTGGCCAACAACTGTTTTGCTTCCATTGGGACAGGTCCCTCTGGCGGAAAGCAGCAATCAGCGGAAGGGGGTTGCAAGAGGAGCATGATGTTGGGCCGCTCTCCCTGGCATATCCCCTCAATGTTGGGCCGCTCTCCCTGGCATATCCCCTCAATGTTAACCCCGGCTGAATCAACCCCAAGTTGTTAATAGGGGTTGGCCGGGTTTAGTGAAAAATCATCACTCTTGCAGGGGAACAGCCCCTATTAATCTTCGTGGCTCCCAGCCATCCGATTCCTTAGCTTTTTAGTGTTTAGGTGGGGGGGTTTTCCATTTCGCCCACTAAAAGTTAGTCACTTTTAGCGGGGGACCCGAAAACGGACGGGTTCATTCCGGGAACCGCGCTTTGGTTCCTCTTGGGGCTGGGGCTCGGTGGCCAAAGGTTCGCCTGGAGATGGGGCCGAAGTAGCCCGGTGAAACTTCGGATTTTTCCAGACCTCGGAGTTTTCCAGTTTTGTCGATTTACCAGCCCTTTGTTTTTCGGCTTTTCGGTTTTTCTCCAGCCTCTCTTCGTTACCCAGTCGTGAAAACAAAAAAACACTGTGTGCCCTCGTGCCATATGGATGCGTCGAACATTGGTGAGGCCTTGCATCCCAAGAGGCCTCGGTGGTGGAAACTTGGGACGAGACACCCCGAAATGACACCTAGGTCCCCCAGCTAGGTGCCCTTTCTCAACCCTTTCTTGGGGAGGGTTCCCCTACTAAAATAGAAAAAACACGGTTTGACCTTGCGACTTTTTTCAGGAACCGGAACACGTGACCCCTAAATCAGACCCCTTCACTGGAGGATGTCATCCAGTGTTTCACCGCGGGTTCAACTTTCCCTCTTCGATCACTTGCAACTGGCTGGGTGAAGCTTGGCTCGCCGCAGGACACCGTGGAGGCTCGCAAGTGCGAGGTGCTTTCGTGGAAGCCTGGCGCTCAGTCGAATCGATCCGACGGCCTTTCGGTAAGATGTCCACCCCTCAAACAGGGGAGGGGTTCGCCGCGGTTCGCCCCTGGTATTGTGCACTTGCCCAAAACCGCCCTGTTTTTGACCTTGTGGTTTCCTTTGCATACTCCATGTTTAGGTCAAAGTTCCGAAAGGTAAGCCTTTTACACTTTCATATCATTTGCACAAGTGACATGTCTCACTTGTCCACACGTTTTGCCTTGGTTTCCGGAGACTCGAGCTTCACTGGGAGTGAGGAGCACAAACCTTCTCGACTCCGGGCAGGGACTAAAAGGGAATCCAAGTTCCGTGTTGCGGAAAGGGACCGGTTTTCCAGCCGCTGGGTAGTTGGGGCCATTTTGAGTCACTCCAAGTCGAAGGGGGGCTACCCCTCAAGGCGATATCGTCTGAGGCACCAACTCTCCACCAACGTCATGGAAGCCTTGGATGCGGACGTTGACGCAGGCGTTTTGAGTTGGTGACAGTTGCAGATTGAGTTTACTTGGTGGTTCCCAGACATCCGGTCCGGTTCCTTAGTTTTTGTTTTGTTAAACAAAATGTTTTTAGGTGGTTTGGTGGTAGTTTCCATGTTACACACTATTCACTTTTAGCGGGGGGTCTGAGGACAGCCCATTTTAGCTCCAGCCAGGGGCATTTTGTCAATGAAAGTGAGCCTTTGCCAGGATGTCCGAGCCATTTCCCGATCGTTTCAAAGGACACCACCAGTAAATTGATCAACTTTTGAAAAGAAAGGCTTAAACCACGTTTCGGAGACATTTTTTTTGGCTGTGGACTCCCCCCAAGTTGAAATTGTGGGTTCCTTCAATTAGCAACCCCTTAAAAAGGGTACCGAGTCTCGCCAAGCGAGATACGCGAATGGGACCTAGATGGACTCCACTTGTTTTCAGGCCCTTTAGAGGGAAACGGAGAATCAGGTAACACTTAGTTGGTCTTTTGAACTGGTGGTTTGCTGGCAAACCAGAGGGAAGCTGATCGAAAGCCGAGTCTGCATATAAGAAGTTGATTTGACCCCATTTGGTTTCCCTTTAGAGGTTGATCACGGCGGACAACATGAATGTGCAGCAACAAAACTTAAAATAATAAGGTTGGTTCGGCCCTTGCCGGGTGTGTGTGAAGCCCCAACAAGGCCCAGTCATATTCGCTACTCGTGTGTTCGACCAAGTTAGAAAGTGGTTGGTAACCTATAGGTTATAAAACAAGTTAAACTCTCCTTAAGTGGGGTTAGCCTTGTTATTACTGGTTATGTCCCAAGTGGCTTACCACTGACTACCTTGGCCGAACATGCAAGTATTGCCTTTTGTCTATGTCTGCCGGGCTTACGCGACCCGACTTGCAAAATTCTGCCACTCAGCGTGTCAGGCGAAGACTTCAAGGCAAATGGGTTCGATATGCGGATCGATCGGCTTGATCAGACCTTGCCAATTTGCTCAGCTTCCTGAGTTACACTGAGCGGCAAACAGCAACATATAGTTTGTACTTGGCCTGTGTGTCTCAAAATAGTGGACCCCCCCAAAATGTGCGGTTGCCTTTTGATTTCCTTTTAAACCCACCCCAAAGGATACCCTATGCACCTACAGCCGCCAAGCTGCTCAAAGGATTCTACCGGTTTATGCTTTTTGGTTGCTAGCTTCCTGAGCAACCGGGGTATGTTTCTTGTTTTGTTCCTTCGTTTTTCTCTTCTGAAAACGCGTGAGAGGCTTGGCGTTTTTGGGGCACCAAGTGACAGCCCAAGGTCACAAACACATTGGTATGCCAACATTAGACCCATGGTGATTTGTTGAGCCATTTCCAACGTGGCTGCCCAAGGAATGTCCTTAGCTCGGGTCATTTCAACTTCTGCTGCTTCATTTGAGGCGCCTGGGTATGGACGTGTGATCACCGGCTTGGCGCTTTGGCAAACTGAGGGAGGGCGCGAAGAAGCCCAAGTTGGACACTGAGATGGATTTTTGAGCTGGCGGGTGACCCCTGCCTTGATCGCAAGGTGGAGCACCTACTGTGGGCGGACGAAATCTTCACCACCGTTCAGAAACCCTGAAATGATCCGATCCCCCTGTAAATACCAACAGGCTCTGGTAGGATTTTGTCCTCCCACAGTATGGTAGCATTCTCACGAACACAGGCCTCAAGCTGGAGCAGCTCTCATGCCAGCAAGCAGGCCCCTGATGCCTGGAGCATTCAACAGGACTGGCTAAAATGCTCAAAATGGTATGTTCCAATTTGGTGTCCCTTGCCCTTTAATGCCGACCCGGGGTTTGTTTTTCTGGGGTCAACATAGTGGTCCCCTCATCTACTTCCAGACATTGAGTGGTGCCTTTTTTTTTTTTCTCCCTGTTCTTCTCGCGGGGTTCGCTTTACAATCAGGTGGCCCTTTCTTGATGGTTTGGATTGGTGGCTTGGGGTATGAACCCCTGGTTCTTAGGGGGCAAAGGGGGTTCCCCCCCCCCCCCCCGCCACGAACCACACCAAGATTCGGCTCTTTGGAGGCAAGCTGAAGCACAAGACAGCCCATGACCAGACATCTGGGTTCTACTTCTTTGTTGGGGTTGTCCCCCCCAAACAGGGCTGTTTAAAGGTAATCCTTGATCCTTTCCTAGTGTTACGCAAGGAACCGGTCCCCTTTGTAGTGGCTGCCTTACAGAGATTAGGGAAAATCGGATTGGCCGAGCCTCCATTTTGAACAGGTTAGCAAAACAAAGCGTATGCTCCGAGCGATTGGTCCTGAGATAACCGGAGGAAGCTCTTCCTCATGGCTCCGAGCGTGAGAACCGGCGTACGGCAGAAGATGATGGGTTATGGTCACCCGAGTGCTGGCTTCCTCCAATGCAATCCACAGATTCCGTCCCAAGAATGGAGGGGCATGTGGCACTTTTCCAAAAGGCAGGTAGTCAATCATATTCTTAGTTGCGTGTGGATGGACAAAGTCTTGCAGCAGTTGGAATGGATGAAGAACTATGACTGTGATCAACCAATCCCAAGTGAAGTGGCTTTTGTCAATCCACAGTACTTGAGCTATTTCAAGCGGCTCACTATTCGAGAGGTGTGAAAATACGGGTAGTGCCGCACCAAAATTCCGTAGTTTTCCCGCTGGTTTCCCTTGCCGAGCTGAAAACGGGTACCGAGCTCTAAAGAGACGTGCCCATTGGAAGCGCAGCGTCCAGGCCAACGGAGAAGAGCTCCGAAAGCAGGACACCCAGTCCGCGGGCGGGAAGTGGATCGGATTTTCCATGTTCGGATAGCTACCCTCCTGTCCAAGTTGGAACCAGAGAGATGGCCCCGATTCAAAGACATATAGAGCATCCATTTGCTGAAAATAAGATATGTGTGTGTGTGTTTTTCTGTTTCCCCCTGTTGGTTTTTAGAGAAAATATATCACTACTGGAAATAGTTTTATTTTTTTCCAGGGGGCTTATTAAGCAAATGGAAGATAGCCTTCCAGGATCCCAAAGTTAGCGTCAGATTCCATGTTAGCGGACAGGCGGGCAAATATGAAAGAGAATTAGAGCATGATATTGTGTGTACCCCAGTGGGCCAAGTTCCTTGTGAACCTTTTGGGGCATGTACTTCCCTCTCTGCTAAACTGGTTCGTGGTCGCATCGAGCGACTGGCCGGCGCCAGCGCGTAGCCGGACATGGAATTGACCTCGACTTTGAAGAGCACCTTTGGACCGCCCAATGTACATAACCAATAGGGTCCGATTTTCACCGGAAGCCACAAGGGCCAGGTTGTCCAGACCGACCCTGCCCGAACATGGAACCCAGCAGAGGGTCCATTCGAAAGGATAATGATTTTTCAGGACCCCTCAGTCAGGTTGTTTGTGGAATGGAGGGTGGCTTGTTGTTGCAGCTGCCCTTGTCATTTAGTCACAAGGCCCCGCAAGTTTGAAAACAAATGTGTGGGGTAAAAATGACAACTGTTCTTTGAAATAAGAACAAATTGTTTTGTTGTTTTTGCCTGGATGAAACATATGTCATTCTTGTTTCTCCATTTCTAGCTTTGCCAGGCCACTCAGCAGGTCAGACAGCGCTTTTTTTGGCGGCAACTCAGGCTGATTTGCAGCGAGACCGACGCGGCTGCCACGGGCTGAAAACGCTTAATCGGACGGAGTCAGGACGGCCTTGAGGGACCCTCAACTAATTTCCTGACTTGGGCTGTAAACTTTTTGGGTTTGGACCATTGGAGTGGTGAGCCAAAAGTGTGGTGACTTGTTTTGGCCAAAACAAGCTCGATGGGAAGTGAGTTAACTGATGCCAGCTGGTTTAGAGGTTTTTCCTGAGAAGCAGGTGGCTTTGAGAGTGAAAGTTCTTTCCGGCACCCTGGGCGCGCTTTGACTTGTGCCATTTGTTTCATAATGTGGGGGAGTGATTGCTAAAGCGCCCTCCCCACCCACCCAAAAGGAAATTGCTGGGAGGGTCAATAGGGAAGGGCCGAAAAACAATGTGGGGGTCAGAGTTTACTCTACCCAAGTAGTCTCTCAGTAAGAAATGCTTAGTACAGATTGAGAATCGTGCTAGTATTCCGTTCCGAGCTGGCCCAGTCCTGTTTAGAAATGGTTTAGTCCTGGTTTAGTGTTGGATTTGTGTTCCTTCGTACTGGAGCAGTAGTCTTTAGACTTGGTTTGGCGTCTGTTTGTTCACTATCTTACGGAGCTCATGGGCTTTAAACTTTTTGGGAACGCCGTTTGAGTGGGTTTTGTGGCCAATCCACTTGATTGGAAGTGAGTTCTTCGTACTTGCCAAGAGACTTTCTTTTTCTCCATGTCCACCCCTTAAACATAATTTGATTGTCAACTGTCCGCCTGCACCCCCCTTGAACATGTGTTTGGGCGGCTGTTTTGGCAAAGGGTATCATAAGGATTTGGCAGTTTGGGGCCTCAGTTGGTTTTGCTGTCTGAGGATTGGCTTAGTATTGGTTTGGTAGTAGTAGTGTTGATTGATTGAGTATTGATTAGTATCAGTAAAGTATTCATTGAGTATTGCCGGAGCTCGGGAATCACTTCTTTTTTCCGCCCCAGGACGGACAGCTGTATTTTCCCATTGGCCAAACGTGTTCTGTATTTGCTTACCCTTTGTTCTTTCAGGGTGGGGAGTAGCAATCCGAATTGGGCCAACTCCTCACTGCCTCCCCTTTTTTATTCTATTCGTTACCCGATACGGTCGATGTCCACAACCAGGAGGCCACGGTTTGGTGATTGAGCGTGGTTGTCTTGTTTGCTACACACGAAATCCACGTCGCACGAGTTTCAAAGGGTTGGGTTACAGGATTCTACAGGAAAGCCGCTTATTTACGGTGTTTTGGGGCCATTTTCTGTGGAACTTCCTGTAACCAGACCCTTTGAGAGGTGGGATGGAGGAACCTTAAACAAAATCCGGGGCATAAACATTACCAGCTGGTGGACGGCACGCCGGGCATTTCGGGACGCGAAGCGCCTCAGGAAATGGGCTTGGGCTCGGGGACCAAGCGGGAGTGATTCCATTTCATGGCCACAGTAACCGATTTCAACACAAGGACAAACTGTCGGTAAAAACTGCCTGATGATGGTCAAGATACGTGTGTGTGTGTATACCCCACCAGCTAACATGGGTTTGTGCACAGACCCTTGTAGAAGATGACTTTCCTCTTGAAAGAGGCCTTTTTGCACTTCCATGTTAGTTGCTGGGTATTTGTCTTATTCGTCATCCCGAAAAAGGCCAGAAGGAGCAGAAGCAAGACAACGGGCCAGATTATTGCAGGTCCATGGGCAAGTTTTCTGCACGAGGACGCGGCAAAAGGTCAAGGATGCATGGAAACGTGACTTGTAGGGCCAACAGTTGGGTTGAATCTTGGATTTTTCTGGGAAGGGTTGTGTTTCACCCAAACCATGCGGGTCCCCATGCTCGGGGTCTCATTTGCAAATGAGCTTCCCTTGGTGAGGTAGGCAGATCCTGTTATGCGGAAGTGCCACATCCAGTCAGGTAACATTTGGTGGCTGGGTTGGATTGGTTTGCGGGGGGTCGAACCACCAATCCAGCCACTTGGAGGAAAGCTGATCGAACGATTAAGGAGTCGCGTTTGCGGAGAAAAGCTCGTCCGAGCCCCGAAACGAAGCCCGCTGGAACTTGCTCAGTCTTGATTGCCGGGACCCAAATGACTACCTCAGGGGATTTTTCTTGTGCTGAGGTAACCCTTACATGAATTTCATTGGTGACTGTGTGAATCTATGCCAAATTGGATTTTTGAACGCCCAGCCACCAACGTGGGGTTATTCCCTCAAGATAATCTAAACAACCTCGAACTAACCATTGGAATCAGCAACCCGACCTTGGGGCAAGCCATATCTAGCAGGGGCGTTTCAGGGTAAACAACAAGAGTGCTTGCCTTTTTTGGGTCCAATCCAAAAAAGCAACGGATTTGAGTTTTCTTTTTTGCAGCAAACGGGCTCGGACCACATGCTGTTTCCCTCAAGCCCCCGGTTCTTCAGTGACACCTTTTGCGAATTTGTTTGGAGAGCCATCCCAGCCCCCACCTCCCTGCCCCCTCCCCCCTGACCCCCCCCTTGACCCCTGCCCCCCCCCCCACCGCCCCCTTCCCTGCCTCCGCCCCCCCCCTGCCCCCGCCCCTACCCCCCACGCTGCTTCTCTCTTTGCCTCTCTGCCAACAGCTGGAGAGCTGAGATCCAGATGAGTTGGAGGAGCTGGCCGGTGAGGCCCGCCGGGTGGATTGGGAGGGCGGGGTGGCAGGTTTTGGTCAAACACTTCACGTCCGTTCCTGGACTTTTTCCTTTTGCTGCTTAGGAGAGTGGTATAAAGTTGGGAGTTATTTTTCCCAATCCAGTCAGGAAGTGAGAGGTTGTGACCCCCCAGTTTGTTCAAAGTATGTTCGAAAAAAGGATGGTTGCAGTGGTTCATGGGTGCTTGTCCAAAGCGAATCGACTTGTTGACCTTCTGGTTTTCCTATGTTGGTTTATATGTGTCATTGTTTGGTCAGTCTTGTTTGATCCCTTTGGTCCTTTTGGCCCTTTTTTTTGTTGCCAAGGTGATCGCCATTGATTTGGGTGTGGCTCAAAATTTCAACGGGGGGGTTACGCAGGTTCCATGTTTCCACTCACCAGGGTTCCATTTTGGTACCGGTTTTTTGAGCCACAGCCATTTGTGGGTGAAAGCCCTTCGGAGCCCTGGACAGGCTGAAGCCCATTCGAGTCCAGGTAAACGAGAGCATCTAGGTCTCCCAGTGCCCTTTTAAAAAGGGGGGAGGGTTCCCCTACTAAAATAGACTACGGGAAAAAAAAGTTGGTACCCTTATAACCTCTCTGCTGGAGGACCTAGGCATGACTACGTCCCGCCCTAGGGTCACCTGGTCGTGTCTTCAGTCGAAGCTTTGTTGAAATCTTGCGAATGCACCTAGTGGTTGATTCGCTCTCCAACGGCAGCTTGCGCAAGCCCAAAATCCTTACAAGCCAGGCATGCTCGTGGTCATGAGGTTTGACTCTGGCTTACAGCGACGGATCGTGCTTTGCTTATCTCAAGGTCCTGTGCACTCATTACGTGTGCGCAGTTTTGAAGGCTTATCTTTCGCATCTTTGCAAGCTCCCGATTTTGGGCAGTTCAAGAGGGTTCCCGAAGCTGTCCCAAATTTGGTGCCACCGCCTCATCCACCCCAATCACCCCCCCAGTTTGGTTGGTTTGTTGGTTAGTCGCTTGGTTGCTTGGTTGCTTGGTGCTTGGTTGCGCTTTGGCTACCAGCTGACCCCCGCAAGAGGTGCAGCACAGCCAACAAATGCAACGTGACTGAAACAACGGGTAGCCCTACCCTGTGACCAACATGGCGGTGGTCGTAGATCCCCTGCAACAAGAGCACGTTTTGCTGGCCAATCATGTGCCCAAAGCACCAAAACTCAAACGTCAAAGGTCCTACGACAGAGCAACCAAGTTGCGAGGAGATTCTCAACAAGTAACAAGTTGTCAGTACCGTAACTTCCATTTGCACAAGCCCCTACAAATAAAGCCTTTCCAGCAGTCATAGCTTCCCTTTAAAACCAAAAAGGCTCAGAATGATCATTAAGCAAATGGATGGTAAAGGACCCCCATGAATGGAATCCTTGTTTTAGGCCCCAGAAAACAGTTATCAAGGAAGACCACCTGCACATTGAAGGGACATCCAGTGACCCTTGCAATGTTGACCCAGGATTAGTAAACCCGTCCCATTATTAGAGGGGTGTTCCCTCATGTTCCCTCCAAAAGTGATGAATCCCCACGAAAAGGGGACACTATTAATCAACCAGGGGTTTATTAATCCGGGGTTAAAATTATGTTCATTCCCGTTAGTAAAAGCAATGCTGTGTTGGGGCCTGGTGATGTACATCTGTGCCGAAGGCCATCTGCTCTTTATGCAAGTCCACCCTGTGTCAACACCCCAAATTCGTGTTTGGTTTGCTGCACTCGGCTCAGGGCGGGGAGGTCGACCCCGAGTCAGATGAGGCAGAGAGATATTTCGGCCTTTGGGGGTTTGGCTTCCTTTCTACCCGAGAGGCCAAGTGAGTCACAAGCAAAACCCGGTATTACAATGGTTGTAATCCCAGAACCATGCTTCAAGAATTAAGAATTCTGCCTTTGATCCTTCATTGCTGTTACGGGACGTCCATGGCTGCAGCAAATCACACAAAGTATGTCGAGGGGTTTGTTTCGCCCGGCTACTCAAATTTAATAGGATTGCCACTACCCAAGACAATTCTAGTCTACCCAGCGGCTCCTGGCTTCGGCTTTCAATGGAATTACACACCCTTGAGGTGTTTGCGGGTCTCAAAACCTGGCTGTTTGAGGGCCCTATGTACATCTGGGTAGTAGAACGATGATATAATAACCATCTTGACTTTGCATACTCCAGCTTGCCTTGGGCGTAGTGGAAACCCCCTGCAAAAGGACCTGCAACACAGACGACACTCTGAAAACCCAAGGCTTTTCAAGGCTGGCACGAGGCAAAGAAGCACTTCCATTTGCACAAGCCCCCTGAAAAAGATACCAATATGTCCAGTAGTGATAGGTCGCCTTCAAGACCAACCGGGGAAATATCAAATAGCCTTACTCAAACGGAAGTTCTGTCAGATGCCCAGTGGCCATGGGAACAAAGGGCACCCTTTTTTGGTTGGTTGACTTTACAGGGGAACCCTTCCCCAAACAAAAGTTGAAAAAGGGAAGCAACCCGCTGGGCAACTGGGTTTTTCAGGGCTAGCATGAGGCCAAGCAGTATTGGCACTTGAGCCACAATCAAAACCCGGGTAGATGAAGGTTAGTAAGGGGCAGTCCCAGCCAGAAATAGCTGCGGCCGCCTTAGCCCGATACTCGGTGGGCCACGTTTGTGTCAACGTGTTGTCGTTGGCATTTTGGCTGAGGCCAGGAATCGCAGTCCAAAAGTCGGGTACGGGTTCTGTAGATTATTCCAATCACTTGACACGACGTGATTGCGTGAGCATCCGGAAGGACCCCACTTGCAAGAACCTTTTAAAACTAATCATGTGACTCTGTAGCATCCGCAAGGAACACATTTAAAGCCCGTATACCTCAAGCCCCACATACGGTCTAAGAGCTTGAATCAAACCAGGTCCGGTTTGCCATTCGCCAGGAGCCTGGTACCAAGCGCCGCTGCGTAGGCACCGAGCTGCAAAAGCTTGGCCTTTCGCGACCTACTGCGACTGTCTTCCGGGGCAATCGGAGCCCCGGATTGGTCTAGATTTGTTGATTGTGACTGGGTGCCCCCTTTTGGTCGGAATCCGAATCACTTTTCTGGGTGACACCCCGCCCCACTCAGATGGGTTTATTGATCTGGGGTTCTTATAAGCGTCCAAAACCTCGAATGGCAGCTACTACCTGGTTTCACCAAGAATATGTGAAGGTCTCTATAAATGTTCAGTACCACATTGGCACAGCTAATAGTCAGTGTGGTTTGGGCGACGCTCAATTTGAGAACGGCATGGCTCAAATTGCAAGAAGGAGTTATTTGGTGGGAGAGGGAGTGAGTGGAGGGAGTTTGTGGAGGGGATGAGTGGAGGGAGGGAGAAAAGGGAGAAAAGGGAGGTGGAGGCAGTGGAGGCAGTGGAGGCAGTGGAGGCAGTGGAGGCAGTGGAGGGAGTGGAGGGAGTCAGGGGCCTTGTGCTTTCGCATGTTCTACTCGGCCTTTGGACCTCTTTGCGTTTCCGTGGTCCAAAAAAAGAGGCAGGGCTCCACAAGGTGAACCTTGTATTTCTTGGGGTCTTTTGGGGAAGTCAAGGTGTCACATCATAGTTTTCATTCCATGGCTCCTTTCAGCTTAGGCAGGCCACCAGCCTTTAGCCTTCGCTGAGTGAAACCCAACTTGGCTGTGGGTCAAAACCAATTGGTACCTCTGGTGAACATCAAAATAGGTGGCCGATGGATGTTCATCCACCCCAAAATGGAGCCACAGGTTATGCCCCATGGCCACTTGAGTTCCAGCTTCGCCCAGATGGTTGTGGCGTAGTTTGTTTTCAATGCTTCTTGGTAAAAAGGTGTCGTCCAATCTGGGAAGCCCGCATGTCGCGATGTATTTCTTTCAAGCGTCAGACAAGCAAGCGGGTATAAGCGGGTGCTTGTCTCCCACGTATGTCCACTGGGCAAGTTCTTGGTTAACGGGAGGAATCCAGAAAAGAAAGCTGTCCCTTTGGTGTCCTTCCATTCTTTGACCACCGAAAATAGGGACACCCCTTAAACGAAACCACACATACACCTATGGATATGTCTTAAGACAGCCCCAAGAATGGTTGGTCTCCTTGTTGTTCCCTTTCAAGGCCACCCAAAGCCGGCGAACAAAAACGGCCCTCCCGTCGTTCCGGCGCCTCTCGTTCGGAGGCGCGGGCCCGGAAGACCAGCCGCTGTACCCCAAGGTGGACAGGCGAAGCGCGTTCTTTCACGACGATGGAAACGCCCTCGTCAACTTTCGCTCACTGAGTTCCGTTTCGGACTGAAGAGGCACTTTTCGGGTTTGGTTGCCATTTTGGCAGTAAATAACATGTTTTTTTTGTGCCAATCCACTCCGGAATTGAGTTTCTGTGGGGGGTGTCTTTTAGGTACTAATTAGCCACCTGGTTGATAGAAAAAAGGGGGGTCCCCTTTTGGTGGGAATTCATCACTTTTATCATGTTGTGTGTGTGCAGCCGGTTTGACTCAGTGGATCTGAAAGCGTACCAACCCTGCAAGTCGTCACCTAGCAGCCATTTTGTGGTTGGTTGGGTTGGGTGGTCGGGGGGGTGGGGTGGGCATTTTGAGTGCAAAACATCTAGCAATGGCTGACCCTGGGGCTGGGCGGGGTGAGGGCGGTAGTCTTCAAGCGTGGGGTGCTGCAGTGCCGAGAGGCGCATTTTTAGGGACGGGTATGATGGGCTTTGGAGGTATGGAGGCTGATGCAAGTGTGTAAGTCAACGTAGGAACCTATGAGTGGAACACCAGCTTCATACTGTGGATGGACGAAATCCTGCACCGCCAAAGGAACCCTGATGATTTATCCCTGTAAATACTGACAAATCCTGGTTTCCCACTATTCTTAGGTGGTGCGGGAGTTCGTTCAGCCACAGTACCTCCACGTTTGTTTCCCTGGATTACCTTTGAGACCTGTCTCAGCTCCTGTTCCCTTCAAATTTCGCTAAACCTACGGACTCAGTTGTTCAGTGGCGCCAGTTCTTTTTCCCCTTTTTTTGGTGGCTGCCCCAGTGAAAAGGGTCCAAGCCCAAAAAGGGTTCCCTTTTTTCTCCAGGGTCACTGAACAACTGAGCCTCCATTTGCTTAAGACTGTTTTTTTTCCCCCTGTTGGTTTTAAAGGGGAACGATTTCTCACTACTGGACAGATTTTCCACTGAACAACTGAGGGGAGGGCCCTGAACTCTTGGGACCCCCCGGAGGTTCAAGGCAGCCGCACGCCGCAGGCTCCCTCCGCACTTCAAGAAGCTCTGGGTCGGCAAGCAACTCGGCGCAGATCCGATCCGCGTCGGCGAGTCGAGGGTGAGAACATCGCATCCATAGAATATGTCCTAGACTTTTTAGGTTAGTTTAAATAGAAATAGAAGGCAATGGTTTTGATAGGTTCTATTTTCCAGTTACTATTTTTTTCCAAAAGGACACCTATGATCGCATCGCGTGTTTTTTTGGTCGGCGCCAGGAACTTCAAGAGTTGGAACCGGCCCCGCAAGGTGGTGGACGTACAAACCTCGAGGGGCCTCCCTGGTTCGCAGGAAGTCGACAGGGTTTGGGGATGAACCGTTTCGGTCCTAAAGGATGACTCACAGAGTTGTTTTAGAGAGACAGCAAATTGTGGAGGTTTTGCAACATTATGTTGTGCGCCAATTTGAAGCTTTGGTGAGGTGATGTTTAGAGGGGATATGTAGATGGGTGTAGATGGGTGAAAGTGGATGGCACCAATCTCCCATTTGGGCGCAGGCATTCCCCATACCAGCATAAAGGAAGTTGTGCCATTTGCTTTCCCACCGGTGTAAGGGGAGCCCAGGAGTAATTTGGGGTTCCAAACATCATAAACGCACCGCGAACAGCCTTGCTTTCAGGGAACTGCCGGAGAGAACCTGTTTGTGTTTGCATGGTTTTTTCCACCCCATCTGGGCAAATTTGGGGTGAGTTTCGTTTGGGTGAGCTCATGGTTCACGGACAATGAGGAAGGAATCCTGTGTCCACATGAGTGAACATGGGTTAGAACATGGGTTAGAACATGGGTTAGAACATGGTTAGAACTGCGCCAACAATGTGCTTGCACCTGCTTGTTGCCAATGCACGTCACCTTTAGCTTGACTTGCCCGATTGCGTCGCAAAACCGACTGTGTTCCGGGATGTTCCACTCAAACCAACCAGATGTACTGGCATGCTGTGAAGCAATAGGTTGGCCTTGGAATGCGGACGGCGTGGAATATAGCACCGCTTCGAGCCGCCAGTTTCACGGGCAGAACGTGCTACGCCCCGTTGTTTTTCGCACCCACAAATACCCATCATCAGCATGCAACAAGTTGACCAAAACATAGGCAGCCTGTCGGACCAGGTGGTGTGTGTGGATCCCCAAAATGGGATATCCCAGATCAAGAACCAGCTCACTCGTCCTGAACGGATCGACCGGATCTGACCTTCTGGTTTTTCCATGTGAGTCCAATGTTTCGTCACGTCCCGAAAACGTCAACCTTTTTCACTGTTTATTCCCCGGTCCTTTGGGCAAGTGAGCCGGTGGTTGATTGGGTCAACCAGACTTGCTGGTGCGATGGGGGAAGGGAATATAATGCATCTCTTATGGCTTCCTCGGGAATCCCCACAAGTCATTCCCTCATTCCCTGCCTATCGCACCGGCAAGATTGAGATGCCGGGCATTGCCGGGCGCTTCCTTAAAAGGGTGCATGCGACCAAACGCGCCAAGGTATGGTGATCCTACCGATGCCGAGCTCTGGGTGGCTCGGCTCGTTGTGCGAATCCTGCGGACATGTTGCGTGCGACTTAGGTGTGTCGATGTTTGAGGGTACCCCTTATGGATGGTATTTTGAAGGGAGACAACAAAGCCAGACACATCTTGGGGGCTCGCCTATTTGGAGAACCAGTTTGGAGGCTTTGACCGCCCTTCCTCAGGCCCTTAGAATTCTAAACCCAACCTCAGGCAAAGAACGAGACCCCGGCCTTAACCATTCGTTGTGTTTTCCGCGCAATGAAGGTCAAACGAGCCGAATTGGCTTGTACAGGATCCCTAACTTAAAGCACACAAATTTGAGCCAAGCACAAAATCACTCTTTGGCCATCTTTTGAGGATTTTGTTGGTTTTAGGTGTTGTGTTGGTTCCGTATTGTACGGGAACCCGCTGATTTATCCCAGCTTTTACGGCCAAAGAAGTCCTTGGCACAAAAAAAAACCAGCGGTTCAAATAGGGTTCCATGGTAGCTGGAGGGTGGCTCAAGGCCACCCGTGGTTTTGTGTTCCCACGGTTATCTGGGAGGGGTGGGTGGGTGGAGGAAGTTAGTATCGTCAACAAGGCGTTTGTTGCTTTTTGCGGGCACGCAGCATGGATTTTGGTTTTCCTCTCGCTTTCCCTTTAAAGCCACCTAGACTCACAGTATTGTCTTTATAAGGGGTATGTAGGGAGTACGCAAGTGGAGGGATCTCAGAGATTGTGGGGAAAGCTGTTCGCTGAAATTACTGGCTGGTGCACGTTAGGTGACTGAATGCGTAGCTTGGTTGGGAAAGTGTACGCGTCGAACCCCAATCGGTCTTGTGACGGAAAGTAATTAATCAGCATTGAATCGGATTTCTTCGGGGAGAATACTCTAGGGGTAACTTCCCCATTCTTTCCAGGGATCCTTTTTGCTAGAAAACCACCAAAAACCCTGCGGAAATGACTGGCTTTTGAAAAAAAAAGCGAATCAACCCCTAGAAATACGCAGTTTGGGGACCTCCCCCCCTTCAGGGTGTGAACCCAGTCCTGGTCAGCTCTCTAGTTGTTTGCAAGTGTTCTCTGAGACGCCATGACATGTGCCTTGCAAGCTTCCTCATGCTTGTCATATTGTTTCTCGATGGGTGGACAAGCGGTATTGTCGTCTTCTTGGTTTCAGAAAGCATTGTTTGGCAGCTTCCCTTTCGGGGGATGTTTTCTTGGAGAAATCTAGGGTTTCCTTCCCCGTTGCACTTCCCTTCTTCCCCCCCTGCTTCCCCTAAGTAAGGCATCATAGTAAGACCCTAATTAGTTTCCTTTTGCTTTTTTGGAGGAAACCCTCGCTTACCCAAAGCAAATCGACCTGAAATAACCTTTTGGTTTTCCAATGTTGGTCTATCTTTAGTAGAGGTGCCAAGAGAGGAGCACCGTTTAGTTCTGGGTTTCTAAGGGGCAACTGGGATCGGAGACAGGTAGGCAGGCGATTCAGGGAAGGGGGCTTGGATCCCCTGAATTTGTGTCTGATCGAGGACTGGTACACCGTGAAAGGGCACCGGGAGGCAAGGTTTTTGTGGGCACGTGCCGGCCATGGCCAACTGAGTTGTGTCGCATGTTCAACCTGGGCGCTAAACAATATGGCGATTGTTTTACAATGTGTGTCTTTTTTTGGGTTTGGTTGCCATATTCGTGGCAAACAAACAAGTGTGGACTTGTTTTGGCCAGTCCAGTCAGGAAGTGAGATTAACTTACGCACGCTTCCCCCAATTTGTGTTTTTGATGGGTGGGTGAGGGATTCCAGGTTCTGCTTCCTGGCGGGTACATGGGGCACTCCAAACCACCAATTCAGGGGAAGCTGATCGGCACTCAGATGTTGCCCGTTCTACCGACCATCATGGACACAACTCGGTAAGCGTTTCAGAGCAGTTTCAGAGCTGATCCTGTTACTTTGCCCTGGCTTGTTTACAGGCAACTTTTAGGACAATCGTTCCCCAAACCAGAGTGGCAACTTGTGGGCATGCTCCTTACACTGCCTTCCAGGCTTTTCTTTTCTGGGGTAGACTTAGGATACATGTTACATTTTACCAGTGACTCAAAGCGAAGCAAAAACTTAAATATACATTCTATAGCTGGACCTAACTCTAATCATGTTAAGATTAGCCGCTTTCGGGGCTGCCAGTTTCTTGTGGCAGGCACGTGGGACAAGGTTTGTTCTGGGCACATGTCCTACCGGCTTTGTTGGTCCCAGTGTTTCTTTGTTTTTTTCCCAGGAATCTCTTTTCTGTTGAGTAATTCAAGATCAGATACGTCTAGATGCTAAGAAGGGGTTACTTGAACAAATAAGTCATCACATCATCAGATAGGATGCTGGAGAGAGAGAGACCATCAGATATCAGAGTCTTCCAGGATACCAGCCGCTGCGAAAAACACCCGGTTGATTGAGAGAGTTGCCGGACCTGACTGAGGGCTACATCAAAAAGATTCGCAGGGCCCATGGACAGAAGGGCATCCTGGGGTCCTGGAGTGTTCAATCAACTTCTCAAGTAGATTATACCAGAAGATGTTTTCCAAGTTGCCCCAGTTGTGTTGCATGGTTGCAACCTTCTGTGGATGGCCGAAATCCGTTCGCAATGATTCAATTCCCATCAATTCCCCGTCAAATACCAGCAAACAAGCGGTTCAACCATGGTTTTATTTCGGGATATGAAATGGATTTCGCAACCATCCACAATACTATACAGTACCAAGTTGGTTGACCACCCAAATAGGAACCTGCCATTTGCTTAAGAATATGTGTTTTGTTTCCCCCCTGTTGGTTTTAAAGGGAATCTATGACTTTACCGGACATCGTGTGGATGGACGCAGTCCTGCACCACTTTGAAACCATGCTAGGAAACCATTGTTTGTTGCAACTTGCAGTCCAATCATCGTTCCAGGGTTTCTTAGGTGGTGCGAACGGATTTCGCAGCCATCCACAGTATAATCTCATTGTTTTTCCCCTTCAATGCAAGACCCGACCCCTCCATTAGACACCCCGGAGGTTGGGGGTCTCAAAACCTGGCTGTTTGGAGGGCCCTAAAATGATCGAGAGGCAACTCTGGGCGGGCACCAAGCAGCAACTGGAGGTGCCCGTTCGACTCCACGCGGGCGATCGCTCGATCGCTCGATCGATCACGGCAGTCGCCAGTCGCCAGGTGCATGTGAAGGCGCCTTCCTTCACCACGGGCGCGTTGAAAAGCTCCAAGCGCGGGGGGCCCCCGCCGTTTCGAGAGGAGGCTTCAATACCATCGAGGTCCCCCAGCGAAAGGCTGCCCTTTGACCGATTCTTTTTTGGTTGGGAGGGTTTGGGACCCCTACGAAAATAGACTACAGAAAAAAGTTGGTTCCCTTATTCTAACCTCTCTACTGGAGGAGCTAGCCATGGAGTTTGGGGAAGCCTTGGAAATCGACGGAGCTGTTTTGAGACGAGAGGGCCAACTGAGCGGCCATTGCGCCAAGCGTGTTTTTTCTTTACATGGCCTGCGGTCTCCTGTACGCTGAGCTCTAGGGAAACGTCCGGCATCCGTCTGCTTTTTCAGGGCGGCTATCCTTGAGTGAGCCTTGCATCCAGACCGGCTGGAAATCATCAACCAGTCCAATCTCCACACACGCCAGCCAGAGGGGCCCAGAAAGGTGTGTTGTTTATGGAGGGGGAGGGTACGCGTAGTTGGTTCCAGGGGGCTCTTTTTCCCAGCTTTCGTGGAAAAATGATCGACTCCCTGGTATTGAAGGATGCCTTTTTGAGGGGGTCACCAATTTTCTCACAAAAGGTGGCAAAAACGACCCCCCCGGTTTCGATCTCCTCCCTGAGTTCGAGTTGCGGGACTCGGACTGAAACTTGAAGAGTCAGTCACTTGTTTGGGCTCGGAGCCTCCCAGGATTCCTGGACTTTGGATGATTTTCGCAACTTTTTTTCGCCAATGCTACTTGGTGGTTCCCAGCCGTCCGGTGGCTTTCGATCTGATTACATCCCAGGTTAGTGGCAACCAGGTTCGTTACCTTTTGTTTAGCCAACCCACTCGATCGGAAGTGAGTCCCCAAATGAGTTTTCACAATAGCGGAAGGCCTTGGTTTGTATACATCAAAGCGGGGGCAAGAGGCAAGCAACAATTTGCAGGCACCTATTGCGAGAAACAACTTCAAACCTACTGGTGGTCTATAGGATCATTCCTGGGTCTTCCGTGGGCACTTTTTCCTGGATTTTCCCGTGTCGAGCCCCGCCGATTTCCGCTCATTTTCCGCGAGAGAACTTGCCAAATCATGCCAAATCAAGATTTCCGCTCATTTTTGGCTTTTCCGCTCAAAATCTGAAACGAGCAAAAAAAATGCCCAGAGCCCCAAAAAGTGACCAAATGGAAGACCCAGGTTTGGGGAGGGGCATCGAAAATGCTCACAAATGCCACGGGACGCTATTGCGGAATCAAGTCATGTTCACCGTGGCGAATATCAGCACCAACTTGTATGGTACTGTGGATGGACGAAATCCTGCACCACCTACCTGGAACCCCAAAAGACCAAATCTAAATAGTCGTCCAGAGGTGGGACATGTGAGAACGGCCGTTTGCTCCAAACACGGCCGTTTCAGGAGAGTCGGATGACTGAATTAAGTTTCAAGATTTTGTGCGGCACTTCAGCCGCAGCCCCTTTTCTGCGAACGCTCAAAGAATAACGCAAAAGCTTTCCTACTGCGTCCAGTTGTTTTAAAAGTCTAGGAACCCATGATCGATGGCGCATGCCAGCTTTCGAAAGCGTACCAGGGTTCGACTGATCCAACAATTGTCCAATTCAAAGCTCTTTGATGTGAAGCTCTCTTGGCCTTTTTCCTCGCACGCAATCAGTTCTGCCATTTGATACGCAGCCTGCTCTCGAATAATGCTGCGAAGGCAACATATTGTTCGAAAGCTCCTTTTCGGAAACATCGATAAAACCTCTTTGGAACCCCTTTTCGAAAGCAACCTTTCGAAAGCCGCTTTCAAACCCCCTCTTTCAAAAGCCTCCATTTGAAAGACCCCTTTGAAAGCCTATTTCGCACTTTCAAACCCCCCTTTCGAAAGCCGCCTTTCGAAACCTTCTTAGCGCCCGCCTTCGAAAGCCCCCCCTTTTTGAAAGCCCTTTTTGAAAGCCTATTTCGAATCTTTTTTTCGAAAGCTACGTTTCGAAAGCGACCGGGCAAAATTGAATTCGATGCCGATCAAACACAATTTGAGATCCGAAAAAAACGCGGCTTTTTGAATCTGGTCGTTTGACGGGTAAGAATGGGCGTTGCACGGGTAAGAATGGGCGTTGCACGGGTAAGAACAGTTGTTTCAAAAATCAATTTCGACCAACAAAAACGGTGATTGGCCAATCAACCTGAGCTCGAATGCGACAGACCCAGGATGGTTCGATCGAAATACGTTCTTCGAATACGCAGCGTTCAGGTATGCATCTGTACCAGTCGAAAAAGGGCAGTTCTTTATTTTATGCATGGGACCCTTTCAACATCCAGAATCTAAAAGTCGAAGCTGTCCTACTTAAGCACAGCTGACTGCAATCGGTGTTGTTGTTTTTTTGTGGTGCCCCAAAGTACGTGTTTTCTAAGCCGCGGGTTTTGGGACAACAGTAAATTCGCTCATTTTGGGTACATGCCCCGCGGTTCACTATTTCAGTGCAACGTTGGCATGACTTTTGCATGCGAGCATTGAAGAAGACACTTTGCATGGGCCTTTTACCAAATATGATTATTTTCGGTTCGCAGTTTTAGCATTGAAGAATCTTTGGTCCCCACACCGACGGAACCTATGCGCGTCATCCATATTGGCAAACACATGGCGACAAACTGAGGTTTCCCGCTTCTTTTGTTGTGCTCTTAATTTGTCATATGGACTTACTATTCTTGCTTAGGCTGGGCTGCAAGTCATTTTACCGGCTGTGAGTACATCCCTGCCATGCAGATTCTGCTGCTTTCCTGTCAGCCACCCTGGTCCGGCCAGTTTCGGGCGAAGTGAGTCAAGAACGGCCGTGAGACAAAGCAACCATTTATTTTTAGTCGTTTCAGGCCCCAGGTAAGAAACCGTGGAATGAGTCCCCTGCAAATACCAACGAACAATGGCTGCCCATAATTTCCAAGTGGTGAGAAATGGATTTTGCCCTTCACAGTATGGAGGGGGGAGCATGCCCCCCAGGAATTCTGCTGGCCAAGTCGCTTCATTCGGCCAAGTCCCCCAAGCTCTCCTGGAGCCCCTTCCTCTGGTTTTCACCACGGAAAACTTTCCGTTAAAAGCGAGCTTGGAGGAATCCAGAACTCACTTGCCCAAAGCCGACCTTTTGACCTTTTGGTTGTCCCATTTTGGTCCATTTTTAGTACAGGTCCCAAAAGGTTAACCTTTTATTTCCAGGTCCTTTGGGCAAGTGAGAGAAGCATGGGAGGGCTCAGGTCTTGGTATTTTGAGCCCTCGGAGTTTCGTGAGAAAAAGTTGCCTCCGAGGGCGTCTGAACGGATCCGAGGTGTCTGCAAGAACTCGTCCATGCCATTCACCAGCCGCCCCTGCCGCATCCGGGACGCACCTCGCTCGGTATGTCAGTCGAAGGAACTCCAGGTGGCGGAATCTCCCTATCCCGGCTCACTTCCTAAGCTGGACATTCGTCACTTGGGACGACCATTTTCTCAAGTCAGCCAACAACTTTACAAGTTTTTAACGGCAAACAATACACCGAGCTTCGGTGGGCGTGCCTTCAATATCATTCAATGGGAATTCCTTATGAAGTTTCAAGCGGGGGACGCAAGGAAAATGGCGCGGACATGCTTCGCCGTGGCCGCAGGGCAAGATAGATTGAGATAGGCATGCAAGCACACAGTATGCTTAAGGGCTTACATGTTCTATACTCAGGGTCAACAATTGACCCTTCTGACACCGGTGGGGTGTTGCTTCCGAACAGAGGGCACGTGGCAAGAGTCTAAGGGGTAAAGCCTTGCCAGCAACTTGTGACAGACTCTTGCCCAAAATCAACTAGGGCCACCACTTTGACTGTCTCTGCGGCGTTGTTTTCTCTTTAACCTACCACTGAACGGGGCTGACTTTGAATTTGAGGCCATGTCTGCGGGCTCCAATGAACACCTCCATTTGCGTTTCGGAATGTGTTTGTTTCATTTCCCTTTGTGGGTTTAGAGGGGTCTATCACTACCGGATGTTTTTTTGTATGTTTGTGTAATTTCCCTTTGTGGTTTTAGAGGGAATCTATCACTACCGGATTTTTTTCTCGGGGAGCTTAAGCAAATGGAAGGGATGGTGTCCCCTGTTCTCCTTGAAACCAAAAAGAAGTTCCCCAAACCCAACAACTTGCTGGCTCTCAGTGAATGAGTTGGAATGACCCCGAGAAAACTAAGGGAATTCCCTTCCAGCTCATTCTCCAAAACCAGGAAGGTCATTCCCTGCTGAGCACTCGGGTCATTTTGTTGACCGTTTCTGGAACCCGGTTACCAAAGTCAGAATTACAGGATGGTGATTTCCCTTTATTGCGATTGCGTGGGTTCTTTAGACTTTAGCTTTTGAGGACATCAAAGGTTTTCCATGTAACCTGCCAAAAGTTGCACTTTTTGCAGAGGGTCCTTCCAGCAACCAAGAAGTGACTTTGACACTGGCAGAATACGGGGGCCGTTGGTTCATGGCCGGCTCGCCGGTTTGCTTGTGGCCCCGGGTCGCTCGAAAAAGTGACACGGCCGATTTTTTAGCGAGGAGGTGAGCCGGGTGACATACTGTGGGGCGAAATCCATTTCGCACCGCTTGGGTAGATGAAGGTTAGCAAGGGACAGTTTTCAGCCGGCCGCCTTTGTATTTCCTTACATGGTTCTGGGTCAACCATTTTAGTACCGCGTTTGGATTGGGACTCACTTTGAGGTCTAGGGCCACAAAGCCAAATGACCATTTTTATTTTTTTTAAACAACTCCTAGGGCGATCCCATTTTGGGGTGGATGAACATCCACCTATTTTGATATTCACCAGAGGTACCATTGGGTTTTGACCCACAGGCAAATGAGCATTTCCCAGCCAGCAGTTAGACATGAACTCTTTCCTTCTGGAAGCTTAAGGGTCCCGTTCCGGCATCGAGACAAAGGCGCCGTAGCCAGTAGCGGGAGTGAGGTGAAAGAGCGGAAGGACCGAGTTGTGCCAGTGACCCTGGCAGAGGGAGTGCCCCGAGCCCAGAGATCTAGAGCTGTCAGGAATGTTCAACAGCTTCCATTTGCTTAAGAATATGTTATATTTTCCCTTGTTGGTTTTAAAGGGAATCTATCACTACTGGATTTGTTTTGTCCAGGGAGCTTAAGCAAATGGGAGATAGGGATGGAGGGCTGGATGTCTTGTGCGAGGCTTGGGAAGGCTGGACCAGGTTCAGTGGCACTCAAGTCCCTGTGCTCCTTTCTCCTTGTCCAACGCCCGAAAGGCGTTCATTTCTTTTTTTTCTGCCGACGTCTCTGAACAGGGAAAGGGCCAACCCAGGCCTCTTTTCCAGGGAACGAAGCCACCCAGGCCTCGACTGCATTCAACCTGTGGCTGCTGCACTGAACCCTCCTCGTTGCCATTGAGCGACGTTTCGTTGGGGTGATGCCTTACCCAGTGAGTCCATTTGCCTATAACAAAAGGACAACAGCTCGCTACCTACTATAAGGGTAACTGGGATCCGCTGGGTAAGGGGTTGACAATGGACCGCATGATTTTGAATGTGGCCCACCACAAAAATTACATGGGAGGCTTGGAATATTGTGAATTTCGGATGATTTTGATGGAGCTCCTTTCCTTCCATTGGCTTTTGATTACTTGTGTTTTTTGGTTTTAAAGCACTACCGGAAAAATGTCCCAGGGGGCCACATATCAAATGAGAGTTTCATTGCCGGGAGTCTCGGGGCAAAAGACAAAAACACAGCGGAGACCGGAAGCTTCGGCCGCGCGCAAGGTCCTGCCGCCTCTTCATCCCTGAGCACCTTTCGGTCTTCTTTGAGGAGCAGGCACTCAACCCCACACCCCCCCCCAAAGGCCAGCTCAGAGCAGCAGAAGCAGGCACTCAACCCCACACCCAACCCCCCCATCCCCAACCCAACCCCAGCCCTTGCCAAACCCCCACCCCATTCCCAACTCCCCGAACCCCCCCTTCCCCCTCCCCAACCTGTAAACCCCGCCCCAGCCCAACCTCTCTCCAACAACCCCCCCAACCCCTCCCCCCACCCCCCGCCTTTGCCAGGGCGGCCTTCGGAAGCAGTCGCCCACACCACGGGAGGTGCCCTTCACGGCGCGGCGCCCAAGTGCGGTCCGGCGCAAGCCGCCGGCCTCAACACCCGTCGAGTTCAATGGACTCATGTTGACCCCACACGAACCGACCTCAGCGGATTTTTTAAGGGTGCTTTTCCCTGGGTTTGGTGGGGAGTCATCACTTTTTGGAGGGTTTTTACTCCCAATTAATACATTGGGTTTGATTGCTATGGGGTCAACATTGCTGAAAGTAGTGTGTGTTGATTTCCTCATTTGGGCTTCTTAAAAAAAAGAAAAGAATCTATCGCTACTGGACGTATGTTTGTGTTTTCCACGGGGGCTTAAGCAAATGGAAGGATTCAAGCCGTCACTTGGTGGGACTTGCAATTTCCTCTTGGCGCTCAAGCTTTGTGTGGACTTCCCTTTGTTTCTGAAGCTCATCCACGAAATAAACAGTGTGCTTTGGCGCATTTTGCTTGGCTGTTAGGACTTCAACTTTTTGCCAATGAATGGGTTTTTCATTAAACCGCTAAGAGTTAAACTTTTAGCAGGGGAGCAGAAAGCAACCGAGTGTGGTTATTTGCTTTTGGCCCATCCACTCCGGAAGTGAGGCTGTACAGTTAGTTTGCACGGCTTTAAAACGGAACCAGGGACGACCAATTGTGAGGGCACCCTTTGAGGCAAACCCCGGGCGTGAAGCCTAAAAGTGGACTTTGTTTTGTCTTGCTGGGCTTCCCTTTAAACTTAAAACCAAGGTGACGTACGGGAAAGTCTGCGGAGTTTTCCGATAAAGGGCTGCTCCATGCATAGAGGGATTGGCTCCCTTACTATCTTGCTTCCATTTTCATTTCAGAATGGGCGTTTTATTTTCTCATGGTGGTCTTCAAGGGAAACTGCTGGAACTATGTTTTCTTCCGAAGGCCTAAGCAAACGGACATTTGAAGGGATCTCTTGTCTCCTTCCCATGCCGATTTTCTTGCAAAGATCCAGAAGGAAACCACAGCAGACCAGTTATTGGCCTCACGTTGATCTTCGTGGAGAGCAATAGAGTGCGTGATGTGCCCGAAGCTTTTGGGAAGCGGACCCCGCTGAGATCCTGACCCCGTCCTTCGGGCGCTCGGCGGTGGACGACGCCGTGGGCCTGCTTCCCCGGCCAGTGTTGCGATGACGTTGGGTGCTTGTTGTCGCACCTCCTGGGTTTTGAAAAAGGACTTTAGTCACTTCTTGGGACTTTAGTTACTTCTTGTTTGGGTTTGGGACCATTTTAGTGGATGAAAAGTTTGGACTTGCTTTAGCCAATTGACTCAGTGGTTGAGGGTACCCTTTTCAAGGTTGGTTTAATGGGGAAGCCAACTGCAACGCAGCCACCTTTTTTGGGGGTACCCGATCTTGACGCACACGCACGCCCCCAACTCATCGGCCCCCCTAGCCAAACCGGGCGCCTTTTCCATACATGCCGCTTTTTCCGTCTTGGCATGGAACCCAAAAAGGGTCTCCCACAATAGGTTCTCCAATGAAGCCACACCTTGTCCCAGTTGTTCAGTGCTCCCTTTTTTTTAGGACTCCCCTGCAAATTGACACAGAACCAACAAAGGGGGTCGTTCCAAGAGGAGGTTTCTCTACAACTGGGTGTTTTTGGGGTTCCAGGTTGATTTGCAGGAGGGAAGGGTCACTCGACCGCTGGGGTTTTTCCGCTCGATTTGTTGGCTCTCACAACTGGCTGGCTGCCAGGCTGGATCTCTCAGGGGGCATGGTGGACGCTGAGCTACAGCCTTTGGACTACCTCCACATCGTGGCAGCCGGGAAACTCGGAATCTGACCCTCTACTATGTGTATAACGTGGCCCATTTGGCAAAGGGGAGATATCTACATTTGGAGATTCTACATTTGTGCAATATCTTCGATTCTACCTTTGCGCTACTTTTCCCTCAATGTCCAACTGTTTGTGACCTCCAAAAGTGGCGATTGATTGAATGGAAATCACCAGTAAACTGCATTTTTTGATTTGGGGAAACCCAGTGACCCCTGGAGTTTCTCGATAATTTGATGATGCTCCCGGTTTATATACACGAGTTATGACGAGCTCACCCATTCTGGGTCTGCCCGGTCGCAGTCTTGAAAATAGCAAGAGTAATGTGCCCGCTGAGTGCTCGGATCAATTGCCCTATAAAACGTACTGCGCCCGGACTCCCTCCCCGAAATCATGGACTTGACACTCTTTGGAACCGTTGTTTCGGCGGTAAACCAAGGATTTGGACTCTTTTTTGGCAAGCTCGGAAGCGAGCAAAAAATCGTCACGTTCCGAGAATGACACCCAAATTAAAGAGTTGTTTTACGCCCCCAGTTGGAGATGTGTTTTCCCACTCCTGAATCACGTCGACATGTCGTAAAACTGGCCCTTGGGTAGATCCTGATGCTTGTTAAATTCTCCAAGCCTATTGATGGGGAGGATAGGGATGGTTGCCTATTTACCCTCCACAAGAACCCGGGGTTCAAATGACCAAACCACCAATCCATACCACCGGCAATGTTTTTTTGGAACCCGGATTTTCCACAGTATTGTGGAACTTCGGGTATCCTTCCTCATTGTTTCTTGCAGCTCCAGGGCGCTACAAGTTTTCCCGGAATGATCAATGGGCCATACCCTTCCCACTAGCACGGAACATGACAAGGGGATGGCAAGGGGTCTCTTCAAGAGGAAAGTGAGCTTTCCGGTATCCTCCTGTTGATGCTTAGTCGGGGCGATGAGGATTCAACATATTTCAAGTAACCAACCACACTCGACCACAAAAGCCATGGCAAATGTCGGACATTAGGGCATCGATTTGTTTGTTCTCTTGCTTGTAAGTCGGATTTTTAGGCCATCCGTACTTAAATCTTCAAGCAACCCTGACTAAGTAGCTTATAACTTTATACCAAGGTTATAACGGGACTATGGCCACCTGTCCCATGTGTAGCCATGGTTGCGACCAAAGTTGCTTGAACATCCAAGTACCATGTCCTCAGAGAACTCCCGCTAGCTCCGAAATCCTCCATTCCGGAGGCAAGTTTGGATCTTCCTCAAAGAGGCTCGATCCCTTCCAACCACCAGCGAACAACAAGGCATCCGTACCCCCAAGATAAGAGGCTCGATCCCTTCCAAGCACCAGCTAGCAAGGCATCCGCTTCCATGATATTCACATGGTTTGTTGGGACACCATTTTTTACAAATTTTTGCTTGTGGTTTGGTGGTTGAACTCCAAATCCACTGAACCGCTAGTTGGTTTGACCACGTTTGCTCCCCAAACCCAGCGTCAAGCCAACAAGTTCAGCGCCCAGGGGCTCTGCTTGAAGCCGAGGTGAAGCCTTCGGAAGTGGAGAAGCAGCCTGGCCACCGGCAGTTCTTTGAGCCCTCGTTCATGGTGGTGGTTGGGAAGCGGTTTCTTTTTTTTGTTTTGCATTTTGTGTTTTTTTTTTTTGGTGGTTTTGTGGTTCCAACGTCAACCAAGCTTTGTCCGTGTTTTGTCTTTTCTTCGTTTTTTTTTTTTTAAATTAGGAGTTGCATGCTACCCTTCTTGGGCTCTTTTTGTCTTTGCGGCTTGGCAAGTGCACTGAGGGCGCGGCGCTTTGAAGGGGGGGGGGGGTGAGAAGCAAGTCCAGATAAAGCGGACTCAAAAGAAAAGGTTCGGCCCCACAGGGGTCGGGTTAAAGGAAAACCAAGGGCATTCTTGTCTTTTTTAGAGTTGGTATAGTTGGCCTAAAGGCGAAAACCCAGGAGAACGCCGGAGATTCGCTTTTTTTGTGTTGTTTTGTTTTTCCCCTTTTTTCTCCCGATTTCGAGACGTACTCCCAGAGTTGTCAGGTGGATTCCGCTCTCGAATCATGTCTTGTGCAGTGAGGTTTCCATCATTGTTTGCTGACTTTTTTGGTCGTGAGTCGTGGGCCTAATGTTGCTTAGCGGATGCCACCCTTCTTCAATCCTTCGGTTGTTCGGTGGGGTCTTGTCCTGCAACAGAGGTCTAAACATAGAATCAATCAAGCGATATCAAGCGAACTTGAACCACAAGGCCATTCCAAGCCGCCGATTAGGGGGAAGCTGATTGATCATACTCTCATCCAACATGTCACCTCAGCGGCTTCCACGGGAGAAGCTGAGCCCAACTTGAGCTAGCCATTGGCTGCCAAGCAGATCAACCTGTTGGTGTGTTTGTTTGTTTGCTATTCCTAGTGAGACGTCAACTTTGGCACATCACGGGCCTTTCGACCCGGCAGGAGTTCGTCCGATACTGGCCCGTCGGGGGTGATTTGTTTGAGATTTTTACCAATTTTGTTTAAGCACAAATCAATAACCATTTTTGCTGTCAGACAAACAATCCAAACAAATAAAATCGGCATCGGGAACCCCACAAATCCAACATATGTTGGTATTGTTTTAGTCGGGAACCTGTTTTGGACACCAGTACTGCATCTAAATCCCTTGCTGTCCAGTGGGATTTCCACGACGCCTCACTCGGACTCGCCCAGGTACCGCATGAGTGCACCGTTCTTCGCCTTGGCCTTGAAGATTGGTTCGGACCATTGGAGGTGGATGCTGAGATATGGAGATGGGCCAAAATTTCACCACCAGGATATGGACCGCAGGTTTTAGTCCATGTTTGCACTTCCCAGGGCAACCTATTTTGGGCACCGATTTTTGACCCACAGCCATATGCCGCCAACATCAGCTTGTAAAGCTTCATGGACTTCTACTTTTGTTGTTTGGACCATTTTTCTGGGGGTACCTTCCATGTCCATTCTCGCCATGGATCCGAATCTTGTCAGAAAACCATCAGGGGAAAAAGCCGATGGCTGATAAGAAGTGGGGAATCAACATTTTGGCGGTAAACAAAACGTTTAGACTTCATTTGGCCCATCCACTCGAACGGATGAGTTACACAGCAAGGGGTATATATCCGCAGCCTGCAAGTGCCCTTGAAGCCTGGGGATTCGCCAAAGGGGGATGGAGCCATTGTTTAGGGTTTCATTCCCCATGCTTTCAACCCATCGTTCTTTTCAATCACCAGCTGTTTCCCCCTGGGTGTGTGATGGTTTCCTGAAAAGAGGGATTCCTGGAAAGAATATTGGGCCACTTGGGTCAACGGAAAGCACGCCATCAGAGACATGTTTGTCCTATGGCCAAGGCTACATTCAATTGTCAATGTAAATTGCTTTGTGTGGGCCTTGTTTCAACAAAGTAATTTAGATCCCTAGGTCTAGGCTTTGAACGTTGACGAAGCTGTGTCAAGTTTCAACATCCGCCGTTAAAGCATGGATGTCGGTCCAGACCCTTGTGACGAGTGGATTGAGGATTTCCGACTAGGGGGTTATCAATGCCAGGAATCCGCAAACTCACTTTCACATAGGGCCCAGAAATCCGCGGGTAACCTTTTGGAACCCTGACTAAGAATGGACCAAGCACGGGAAACCAGAAGGTCATTTCAGGTCGATTGAGAAGATGCAGGCATGTTGTTCAAGGAGAAACCCCGGGACGAGATCACACTGCTCCGACCCGATCAAGTTGGCAGAAAACTGGCAAGTAAAGCCCTGACTGACATCATTAGTTATGACCTTGTGGGGGTAGTGGATACCAGCCTGAATACACACACACATATATATATATATATATATATGTTGTTTGCTGTGTTTTGGAGCTGACCCTTTTTGGGGGTCACGTATGTTGACACGGACCCATATTCAGGCTCGTGTCAAGTGCCCTAATTAACCGGTCCTGAGGTGGTGATGGAGCTGCCAACAGTGGTGACCGTGCGGTGCCAAGGGGCGGTGGATGAGCAGACCAGTAGGCTTGATCTTCCAGGACCCTGGAAAGGCAGGCCTTTGCCCGAATTTCCATTTGGAGCCAAGATGAAAATCAAGAAGCACCCTGGTTTTGGGTGGCTTTGGGTTTGGCGGTGCTGGTGGGTTCCAAGTTGAATTGAAGTTCTGTATCTGGGAATCTTGGGGGTGAGGTGGGGGGTTCTTTGGCTAACCGGACTGTCCTTCGCCCTTCCGCCGTTTGCAGAGACTCAGAGCAGGTTCCTCGGTCCTGAAAGGATCTCAGGTTGAAACCTTCGGCTTTGGCTAACACTCCGTGTCTTTTTGGTGGGGTGGGAGGGGAGACCCCGCATCCAGTTTCAAGTTGTCCGAAGCGGCAAGTGGTTGCTTGAACGCGGGTTGAAGCAACAAAGACATCACCACCAGCAGATCACCACCATCACCACCACCACCACCGCCACCGCCACCCCCACCACCACCACCACCACCACCACCACCACCACCACCACCACCACCACCACCACCACCACCACCACCACCACCACCACCACCACCACCACCACCACCACCACCACCACCACCACCACCAGCCCACCACCACATCACCAGCCCACCACCAACCCACCACCACATCACCACATCACCACATCACCACATCACCACATCACCACATCACCACATCACCACATCACCACATCACCACCACCACCACCACCGCGGCCTCCTTTGGAAGTTCCTTCGATGTGTTCCTCGTGAAGGCAGAAAGCTGAGGTCCAGCATCCGCAGTACGGGGGCTTGCGCCCGGAGGACGGGACGATCACCCATGTCGTCACTGTTGTTGAATGAGGTTTTGTGTTTTGTCTTTTTGCATTTTAATCTGCTCATGTATAGCAGGCTGCAGGAACAAGCTTCTTACTACCGTACCAAGGGGTTGGATGTCAGCCTATTCGATCTTCGATTTGGTTCAGACATTGCTTTTGTTGGTATTTTCGCCCGTTGGTTTTAGAGGCAACCTGTGAGTGACTACTGGAAGTACGTTTTCTCCCCCCAGGTTCATGCATCCGCATGCATCCGCCAGAGGTTCTGGTCCGGCAAGATGAACCTTGCAAATGAGAAGCACGGGTCCTTATACCCTTTGGTGCATTTTGCCAAGGGCTGTTAGGACTTTAACTTTTTGCCAACTAATGGGTTTTCCACTAAACCGCTAAACGTTAAACTTTTAGCAGGGGAGCAGAAAGCAACCGAGCCCCATTTGCCCATAGCCGACCTTTTAATCTTTCGGTTTTCTCATGTTGGTCCGTTTTTAGTCATGGCCCTGGCCCCAAAAGGTTAACCTTTTGTTTTGGGTCCTTTGGGAAGCTGAGATGCCCCTGTTTGTGTAGTGGAATCATTGCCTTGTAGGCCCTCTTGTGAGTGCGCGTCCCTTGGAGTGATGTTGAAGGGAGCATATTATGACCCTAGAAATGTGTTTACCTATGGCATGGCGTTCGAATGGAGTTATGGTGGATAATGATGTAACCCTCTTGTATTGATCAAGAATTCAAAGAAAACCCTCCCGCTGTTCAGGAAGTTCTAGAGTGCCTACAAGGCTCAGGCATAAGGGGAGTGAGTTACCGCTGCGTAAGCACAAGTGAAGGTCAGTAAGCTTAACCAGGACCACCCAAAGGGTGAAGGTGCGACACGTGACGCACTCTGCACACATTTGGCAATTCCAAAGTCGGACTTGTTGAGACAGGAACAAGGACGCCCCCAAACGAATGCCGTTGCCATGACTTGCAATCTCCAAGCAATGCGGCTGCCTTTTCATTCTTTGTTTTGTTTTCCGCAGCCCCTTTTCATATCAGCTTTTGGTTTTGGTATTGCCCAATTTCGTGAAGCCGGAAAGATATCCTGGCAGCACGACACAGAGCACTGACACCTGAAGTTGGTGAATGGACTCGCCTGGGTTACTGTTTTGAGCTTTCTCACGTCAAAATGGGTCCAGCCTTCCATGTGTACATGGCATTCGCAGGAGCTGGGTGTCGGATGCGCGCGGCACTGGCTGGTCAGGCGCTACATGAGCCCTGAACCTTCCGTTGGCCCATATTAGTCAACCAACCAGTTTATTTCCAGGGGGTGAAAACCTCTCCAAAAGTGATGACTCCCTACTAAACCCACCACCTTAGCGATAAACTGGGGTTGATCAATTCTGGGGTCAACATTGCCCCTTGCGCACACATGTCTTCTGGGGTTGACCGCCATCGACGGATACCTAGTTGTTGAGGGGGTGACCCCTGGTATTCTATTTGTAGTTCCAGTTTCCCTTTTTTGGGGAAGACTAGAAACCGAATAACAATGGCAAAGCATGGCAACCCCACTTATCCAAATCTTCCTTCAGGCTGCTGCATCAACTCATTCCGTGCGTTCCTGGAATTGATGCTTTGTGGCAAGACCAGTTTGTGGCAACCAAAAAGCTCGGACCCTTTTTGGCCAATCCACTCCGGAAGTGGGCAGTTTGTTTTGCCCAGCTAAGGGAACTGGCAAATCGTGGTTCAAGCAATCTTCTTAACGCGGAACACAAACCGCATCGGGACTTGTTGCCGCCCCCCATAAATCCACGGCCGCTTTTCAAAAGGGCCTGAAAATGGGAAGGGTCTTCCATTGCTTGGATGTTTGCTTTTCTTGGATGTTAGGCCAAGTCTTTCATTTCTTGGTGACCCACCTCAGCCCACTTGCAAAGACTCACAAGTGGTCGGCTAAAATGAAGGCTAGTAAGGGGCAGTCCCAGCCGGAAATAGTTGTGGCCGCCTTTCCAAGTTTTTACATGGTTCTGGGTTCACCATTTTTTCTCCTAGGTTTTGATTGTGACTCACCGAGGTCCCCCAAACCCTGAGCCGCCCTTGCGTCAATCAGAGTTTAGCAACGGGTCATCGCCTGGAGGCTGGCTGCAGCGCTGAAGCTGGACTACGCTGCAACCTTATGCCCGTTCTCATGGTTGGGCCGTGCCATGGACACCTAGAGTCCTAGAGTTTGTGTTGCATGTTTTGCAACCATACCCTAAAAATCCAACACCCTAACAGAAGGAGGTTGCAACATAGACCCTAAGTGTCCACCATACGCCCCCCCCCCCCTCCCGCCTCCGAAAACATGTCAATGTGGGAGTTGAGCAATATTCTATTCCGCCCCCAAAAAGGATCATGCGTTTGTGTTCTCGTCTAGTGGGGAAAGTCATCTTTTTGCTGGTTCCCGCAAGGGTCGTTCCATGTACAGGACCTTTTGGTCAACCCGCCATAATATGTTATGTCTCAGGGTAGGCTAAATATAGAACAGAGTCAGAAAGCATTTGTTCTGCTATCCCCAGATGCGTAATAGACGTGCCAGGAGGTCCAATCAATTTAAGTTGTTCTGGTGCCCTTTTTTTACTCAACATAGTCAACCTGGCTAAAAGGGGCCTTTTGCTGCTTGTTAAGACTTTGTAAACCACTTCAAGCAATCTCCTTGCGGGGGACTCCCTTTTTTAGGTTCCATGTTAATTTGTAGGGGAGGAGCAGTTCTGGTTTGTCATGATGTTCTTCTAGTGGTCCATGATGTCGTGTTTAACATTCCCAGTTTCTATATGTGTTAAACTACTCCAAGGGAAACCAACAGGGGCTGGGTAGTTCTTGTGCGCTCTCTGCAGAGGCTCCTTTTGGGCACCCCATCTGCCTAGTTCCAACAGTTTCCTTGATCTTCCAGGACCCTGGAAAAGCAGGCCTTTGGCCCTTTGGCCCTTTGATTTCCATGAGCCAAGATGAAAATCGGATCCATTTGGACCCGGGCTTTGCGGGTTGGGAAGACAAAGGTTTGCTGTACCGCGAGGGGGTGCCATGCAACTCGCCTCACGGACTGGAAGTTTGCGACACCTAAAGCTTCGGGCCACTGGGTTTAGTGGGTGAGTTGCGGCGTTTCACCAGTCCAAAGAACATACAAGAACCAGGGCTTGAAATCCCGTAAACCACCAATCCACAACTTTAAGAGATGAAACAGGCAAACAGCCACTCACGCACAAACCACCAATCCAAACCATCGATCGGGGTGAAGCTGACAGATCAATCGATTTGCCCAGGGCTCACTTGTTTGCATTTGCGCGAGGTGACATAAACCGAGCGATTCGGGGTAGGGAGTTGTTTAATTCACTTCCTGAGCTCTTGGAGTTTAGTCTTTATTTTGGCTTAGGCAGTTTTAGTGGCAAATAAACAGTTTGAACTGGCCAATCCACTCAGAAAGTGCGTTAATTCATACTGGTGAATTGGTGAATGACGTACCGGTACATTGTCTTTGGCACGCGCTACTGCGACTGGCCGAGGCATTCTTCTTGGACGACTCGGTGAGGGCTTGGCGTGGGGTGACACTGGCCGGACTCTCAGAATGGACCAGCCAGTCCGGACAAGCGGCCATCTTAAAATGACTTGGGGTTGATCAATATTCCTGGTCTGCAAATGATGTTTGCCATGTCGTGGGAAATATCATATTCTTAGTGGTTTTCCCCAGTGGTCATCCCATGCAAAGGACCTTTTGACCAATCCCCACTTAGACGGAGGCAAGCCCAACCCCCGAAACCGCCCCTCCGGGGCCTTGATAGCAGCAAGATGCTAAAAGAAGTAAGCAGAAAAGGCGTCATCAAATTGCACTAGTCTTGGAAGAAGGCCATGGCTTTGGAGCCGCATATTGAGTAGTGGCATGCTAAGATAGTAACACCCATCCACTTCTCGGCTCCGTCGGCTCCGTCGGCTCCGGCTCTCCCGGATTCGGTCGATTTGGCGGATTCGGTCGATTCGCCGATTCGTCGATTCGATGCGCAGGTGGAGGATCCGCTGTGCCCCTTCGGCCTGACACCTGGGCCGAAGGCGCGGTTCAACCCCGTGCCGCTCGCCAGCGCCGGAGCCCCAGCGAGGCGCGCGCCCGAGCGAGGCCTGAGCTCCAGAGAGGAGCTCCCTGGGCTTGAGTCACTGGGGTTTGGACCATCCGAAAAGTTTAGGCGTCCTTTTTAGGTTAGTTTGTCTAAAAATAGATGGCACTGGTGTAGATGGGTTTTGTTCCATTTACCAGGGCCATCTAGTTTTCCAAAAGGCCACCTATGTAAAGGAGTGGTAAAAGTGGGTGGTCAAGTTGGCCCATCCAGCAGTTTGGCGGTAAAAAGTTGTTTAGGACTTTTGGCCCATCCCAGGAAGTGACACTAACATGAGGTTGGTGTCCTTTTGGTTTCCCTTTCAACCCACCAGAAGAGAGGTATCCCTAAACCAAGACGAACCCAAACATGGCGCTCAGTTCCCCAAGGCCAACACTTGCAGCTGTTGGTTTTGAGGTTTCCGTTTTTAGTCATGGCCCCAGGTGTGTGCCTTGTATTTCTGGGGCAAGCGCGTGGCAGTCCCCTCCCATACCCTTAGACTTTTACAAGGTTGACCCACGAATAAACCCTTCTTGTGGATAGGGCGGTGTTCCCTCCAAAGTGATGATCCGACTGACAGGGACGCCCTACTCATCAACCAAGGGTTTCACAATCCGGGGTCAACATTTACGCTTATTGGACGTCAGAGTTGTTTATTACACAGGGCTCCTGAAAAGATCTCCGTTTTGCAATCATTTGAACCATGTTGCTTTTTCACCACCAAAATAAAGAAACGGAAACCACACTTTACAAGTTGCAATGTTCAGGTGTATAGCCTTTGCATTTTGTTTGGATGTTAGGACTTTAACTTTTTCCAAGCAACCGAGTAACGCATCCTGATCCCTGTTCAGGTGTGTACATCCGGATCCCTGGAAAACATATCCAACTTGAGCCCAGGATCCTGGGCGCCGTTTTTTGGTTGGAACCACAACCAGGTGCGTTGAAATAGGTTAAGATCTGGCCGTGGTCAAAACGGTGTTGGGATCCCATTTTGGGATTGGTGAATTAATTCACCACCTACTTGGGAAGGGGTCCGGTAATAGGAGAGTTCTTTGAGAGTGATTTGCATTCACAGCCGCGTCGAGCAGAGAGCCTTGGGGTGTTGATGCTGGGCCCAGCCTGAGGTCTTGCAGTACTTGGCAGAGCCGGGCTTCCTCCAAGAGGAGGGACAGAGATACAGGGCTATGAGAGAGAGAGAGAGAGACAAAGCGAGAGAGAGACAGAGAGAGATGGGGCCCGCTGCCTCCAAAGGACGCGAAAAAATGTAAACTTTGAGCAACGCCATAAACCGTGACAATACAAAGTTGCAAAGGGGGGTGTCCTATAGAATCCCCGCGAAAGCCAAAACGCAGGCCGCGAAAGCTTGCGAAAGCTTATCGTGAAAGTAACTAAAGAAGGTCCCGCCGCGAAAGACTCGCAAAAGCCTGCATGCTGATGATGATGCGGTGTGACAGTCCGCCGCGAAAGCAATTCTAAAGAAAACGAAGCCCGCGAAAGCAAAACATGGGGTCGCGAAAGCGTCCGCAAAAGCGTCCGCGAAAGCAAGTTCATAGCACCGCTTTTTACACAAGAGTATTCGGCACGGCTCAAATCATACACCAGAATGAAAGTAGATGTGGGTAAGTAAAGGGGAAACCAACATGGGGGATCTGGTCCATCTACTTTCTTTCACCCTCGGTGTGCTGCCACAAGACATGGTATAATACTATTCGGTACAGAACTGCCTCAAATTAGCCGCACGCTGCATATTGACTGGAAACGGTTGCTAAAACTCACTCGCCCAAAGCGAATGGACCTTTCGACCTTTTGGCTTGCCCTTTCTGGTCCATGTTTAGTTGTGGCCCGAACGGTTATCCTTTGATTTCTGGGTCCTTTGGGCAACTGAGAGCATGGGGGCATGTTCCATGGTCAGAGCGCCTTTGGTAGGGATATGTAGGGATGGTCGTTAGGAACTGCGGGAAACGGAGCAAAGGTAAGGGTTTCTATCGAGCCACCGTGCTGGCCCCAAATATGAATAAGACACCACACTTTGGAAAGGCCTGGCGACTCGGCGCATTTGGAGACGAATACTCGTAATCATATTTTCAGTGTTTCCTTTCCCTAGGGACCCCAAGGCCATAACATATGTGGCCTTGCCTCCGAGGCCTGAACCGGAGCCATTTTCTTACAAGACCTAAAATAGGCAGACTTGTAAGATATGTACCCAGACCACACCAAGGCCGTTATATAATGGCTTTGGACGCTGGTTGGGGTCCCCCCACCAGAGCGGACATGCTGTTCAACAAACTGGCTGGCCACATGGCTGGTTACGGCAGGCTCTAAAGAATTAGTTCTGAGCGGCTTCACACAACGTGCCTACTGAGCCTTTGAATTGGTAAATTGTCTCCGCTGGGCTTTGCCGGAAGTAAGTAACTTTGTGCGCGTCCGGCTGCGACAGACCTCGTGTAGGCAAAAGCCATAAAAATCACAACTTGCGTGACGCAACTCAGTGAATAGCAAGAGGCTTGGCTGTTTATCGCAATCGCTAGTGACCTTGAAAGCCTGAGATGATTCAAATTTGGCCTCTCACGCATGTCACGCAGCACGGAGTCAGCCGCGCGGCGACGCAGGGGGCACTAGAGGCGTCGCGCGCTGGCGGCGAGCAATCGCGCACGGTGACAAGGAACCAGCACATGGCAGAACTTAGCGCCACATGGAGTTGCGACGCAAGATGGCTGAGGGCTGGGCTGGATGGGACGAAACATCGACTCGCGCCCCCTCCACCCCTGTAGCTAAACACTGTGGCCCGGTTTAATCCTTTGTGCGTGCATTTAAAACATGTGCGTTTCATGTCACTGTCATGACTGCTATTGATCCGTGGAAGTAACCAATATAACCAGTGTTGCTTTCAGCCTGCGACGTGTCGCTGGGTGCTTTCGGCGCGTCACTAGGATTTCTGTTCTTGCGGTAGGTTTCGCTTGCACGGTGGATTCGGTTCGTGTATGTGGCGCTGTGCGCGCTCTGTATATATGTGTATGTATATATATATAAGGTTTCGGTTCGCAGTTGTTGCGCTGCTTGGCAGTTTCTTGGCAATGGGCACTTTGTTTGCGATGCTGGTAAGCTTTTCGTGATGTTGCGTTGCAATTCACACGTGCGCCGCCGTGTATTTGAGTGGCTCGGCGCGCGCTTGGGCCTCTGTCTACTGCACGCAAGCGTTTTTTTGCGGGGGCTATGCTTCGAGCGGATATACGCCTTTCTCCGCAAGAGCTGTGGGCACCTTTGCCCTGTACTGACGCTTCGCCGCATATGAGCGAAAGTGCGTCACGCGCCTTCGCATCCTGAAGCGAAGAAGGGGAAACTTATTCCAACTCGGATTTGGCCGAGATGGAACTGTGTCAGATTGCTTCATTGTGCGTCGCCCGTTTGTTTTGGGCCCTGGTTGCGGGCCGTTGCGTCGCACGCGACTTTGCTACGTAACTCCATCTAAGCCGGGTTCTGAGGCGTGACTCAGGAATGCAGGCAGCTTTCCCAAAGAGCCCCCGCGCCAGCTCCAGGCACCAGTTATTAGTCTATTGGCGGCACCCGCTATTAGTCCAGACTAGCTGCTGCAAGCTGCAGATTTGTAGCCGCCAGCTCCAGGCTGCCAACTCCCAACTCCAGACTGGCAGTCCAAACGCGCGTGGCTCTTCTCCAACTCCTGTTTGCACGTGTTTCTTCAAACTTCAATCGCTTCAATTGTTTTATCTGGTTTCTATTTTCATCTTTGTGCCAGCGCCTACACCACAGAATCCGACCAGTTAAAGCAGATGCGGGCTGTGAGAAAAGTCAGACATAATTGCTTCCCCTTGCGTGCGACCAAGCAAATCTAAAGAACTTTACATGGGCCACTGTTATGGGCCATTATTCTTGTGGTTTGCTGGCGAGAGAGACGATAGTTCCAACGAACGCAAATCTGCAAGTTTGATTTCAGCAAAAGGGCAACCAAGGACCCAAACATCTGAGTTCCCAAAATAGGGGCCCATTCAGGAAACTGTCTGTGCCAGTGGGTTTCCTGAATGGGCCCCTATTTTTGGGACCGGGGTTTGGGGGCTTGGCACGAAGAGTCCCAGTGGAGTTGGAACCTTTCAAGATTGCTGTCGTCAAAGATTGCTACTCCAGAGGCAGCAGTTGAGAAACGCACACATCCAGCCACCTGGTCCTTGTGCTACGTACCCAATACATAAGGGGTATATATAGTGTATGTATTTTTCAGCCATTAGCAGCCCATAACAAGGGCCCAAGTAAAAAACTTTAGAGCAAAGCAACTACAATATAGGAAGTTACAAGTCCAGCTTCACAACCGAGCCACAGAGTAACGCTTACGGAGGCTGTTGTAAAATTGTCTCGCGTTAAAAAACGGCATAAAACATTTTACAGCTAGTACCATGCATGAAACGTGAAAGAAACCGTCAAAGCTGTGCAATTAACGTGCTCACCAAGGCTGGTGTAAAATGGCCTCGCGTTAAAAAGCGATACATACAAAGCGTTAAAATACAGTAAAAGGCTTTAAAAGGCGTTAAAAACAGTACATGTCACGTACGTGCCAAGGCCGATATAAAACGGCCTCGCGTTAAAAAACCGTGAAAAAGCGTCAAGACACATTAAAAAGCGCATAAAGCATTGCCGCGAGCCACAGGGTAGTACTTTCCAAGGCCGATATAAAATGGCCTCGCGTTAAAAAGCGTTAAAAAACGTAAAAAAGCGTTAAAAAGCGTTAAAACGCGTTAAAACGCGTTAACGCGAGCCACAGTGTAGTACTTTCCAAGGCCGTTATATAATGGCCTCGCGTTAAAAAGCGTTAAAAAACGTTAAAAAGCGTTAAAAAGCGTTAAAAAACGTTAAAAAACCGTTACTACGCGAAAAGCCCCAATCGGGCTGCCTGAAATACCTACCTACGTTTCGACGGACTCTATGTAAGCCCTGAGAGGCTACACTGTCGAAATTTCTTGGAATTTGTCTGCCTTTCTGTTGGAATTCATCGGGCCGCGTTTTCGGAATTGCTTGCGTTTGTCGGCATTATCGATTTCACAGGTTTTGCTCTGAGTTCTGCGTGAAAACTGCCACGTTGAAAACAGCAAAGGGAGGTTTTGCATGACATTAAGTTGGCAGAGAGCGTCAGCTTGATGACAGCTGCGGCGTTGCGCAACTGTGCTTCAACAAACGCAAGGTCATGTTCCGGCATAAACACAAACGAGAGCAGCAGAAGGATGCAGTTCAGATTTGTTGGGTGTTTTAGGAATAACCGCCGCGCCTGGCATTCTTTAGAACACATCGGTTTTGGAGAATCCGTTCTTGCCTGCTCCGCTGAGAAACACATTCACTGGCCTGTGGCAATATTGCTGCAAAACTAGAAGCAAAATTAAGACCCTGCTCGGCCTCTTTGACACGAATGTCTGGGTCTCTCCAGTATGAGTGTTTTTCTCACGCAAAAGAGCCTTGGGCTTACAAGACCAATCATGCATGACCGGAAATCCAGCAAAGGGGGGGCGAGCCTGCTGAAATTTCAAGCTTGCGAAAAGGGTAGTCTTGGTGGTTGAATATTTTTCAGGTGGGGGCCCGGGGCCAAACTTGGAACAACGTGACAGCCGCGAACTTGGCCTGCAGGAAACAGACAACATTGATGACTGACCACTAGCATGCAATTGTGGGGCTGGCATTGTGGAACCAGATGTGGCAATTGGAACGAAATCTGCTCGGCCTTCAGCGTATGGAGCGCGAGGAACCGTGACGGACCGATGAGGGACATTGTCAAGTCTAGATGGTAAATTTGACGCGCCTGAGTTTGCGACGGATCATCATGAGCAAGCCCTGACATGCCGGCGAGTTGCGCGAAAGAGCGAAAGCAACTTGACAGAGCCGTAAAAGCGACGTAAGACCAGCCCTGACCCGGCCGCTTATTACAAAGCATTGTTCGGGTGAGATGTGGCGCGTGTCACCCGGGCACACGCCAAATGAGCTGTTGAGCGATTTCGCTCCACCTCTTCAAAGTTTTTCTGCAAAACTCACCAAAAATACGGTCAAGACTATGCCCCTGCAACTTCTTAGCGCAGATGTTTGCGACGACATGCTTTTCTTGACTTTGCAGGACCTCAGTTGTTCGGCAGCGCAGGCTGGTAGCGCCTGATCGAAGCAAGCCACGCTGACTTGTCCAAGCGCGGCGCTCAGCGCGCCCACAAAAACGACCTGACCGGACAAGCGCATGTTTAGCAGCGCGCATGTGTGTTTCAATCACTTGGCACTGTTGCTGCGATTGGGCGCGCATTCTGCCACAACAAGTGGCGCAATAGCCCTAAGATTAAGTTCCAGGGCTTGACACGCTCAAGGTTGGCGCCGGACGTCTGGTGGCTCTGTGTTCAAAGCGCGGCCGTCAATGTGCTGAATTCTCACAAACAGTCTTTATTGAATGCGGTTTCTGACAGCCACAGACATTAAATCAAGGGCATCTGTGCAGGGCACTCCTGTAGGACATAGCTACCCACGGCCAAGCCTGTGTTCCTCTGTGCCCCTGGCGCTGGCATGTGTCAATGACTTGGAATGTCAAGTTCCTTCTCGTGGCTGGGGTCCTACACTGGCTTCACCGGGGGTAGGTGTGCGGGCTCTGCGTGTGCGCGAGTCTTCCGTGTGTGGCGTGGTACGCGTGAAATGTTTGCTTGTCTGCTTGCTTGCTCGTTTGGCGTTTGGTTTTCTGTTTGTTTGCCTGTGTTTGTGTGTGTGTTTTCGCCTGTTTGGCTTGGTTCGCGTGTGGGTTAAAACGGTTATGACTTCTTTTATTCAGTTTTGCTCCAAGCATGGGTGACATGGCATCATGTACGTAGGACTTGTGCGCTTGACCAAACTGCGCCCACGAGATTGGGGCCACGTGGCTCAAAAGCCAGAACAGCACGGCTGATGTTTGTGTCATGTACACGCAAGTGGGGATCTGCTAGATTCCAATTGTCAACATGCCACTTTTGCCCAGAATGGCTGCAGCTTCCAAGACCTCAAAATATGAGGTCTCGTGTCCAAGACCCCATTCCTGGGTGGATCCGACCAAGGCCTTAAATATTTAGGTCTCGGGTCCCTAGGGTTTGGGGGTTCCAGTTACACCTTAACTTTCCGTATTTGGCGGATTCTTTGGCGCCATTCAATGTTGCAAGCTGATCAGGATCTCTCCTTGACTTTACACTTTTTGGGAAGACCATTTTGGTGTTAAATAAAAAGTTCCTGGCTACTTTTCCTTGGCCATCCACTCGATCGGAAGTGAGTGGATGACTGGCTCGCGAAACAGCAAGCCAACTTGGGTGTGTGGATTTTTGAGGGTCCTCCAGTAGTGCCCTTTTACAGTTTTTTTTGCGGAAAAAAAAGTAAAAAGGGTACCCTTATTCTAACCTCATATCTAACCTCTCTACTGAAGGACCCAGACTTTTCTGGGAGTTTCAAAGAAAAGCCCCAAAAGGAGCACCGTTGCGCAACAAAATTTGGACGGGGCCTCCCGTGCAGCCCCCGAAGCATTCGGCCAGGAGATGCCCAAGTTGGCTGCCTTTGGCTTCGCCAGGACAGGGCGATTTGTGAAGTGCGGGACGGGGGACGGGAGGCGCCCAAGGGATTGAACTCAGCTTTCATTTCCTCAGCGGTTCAGTGACACCCTTTTCCCCTTTTTTTTGGTGTGGCTGCCTGGTCTTCCCCAAAAAGGGTTCCCTTTTTTTGGGGGGGTCACTGAACAACTTGGAAACTCTTTCCAGGGATCCGAATCTTTCTAGAAAACCACCAAACACCCTGGGGGAAATGGCGATCGGTTTTTGGAAAGAACGATGGCTGAAAAGAATGGGGAATCAGCCTAGAACCCCTTCCCAACCTCCCGTGTGCTGAAGTGAGAATATTCTTCCCATTTCCCCTTTTTGGTTTAGGGGGAGCCCAATACTGGATTATTATTTTTTCGGGGAGCCTATCACTGGAAATAGTTTTTTTGTTGTTTTTCCTTCTCTAGAGGGCTTCAGCAAATTTCCAGGGAAATTCGCCAGGCCTGTCCACAGGTTCCATGTCAACCTTGGAGCAACGGCACCCAGTCCCTGGGTTGCAGGTTCGGGCAGGTTGCCACCCACCCACTTGAGTTCAACTGGGCTTGAGTCACTTCTTGTCAAGTATTTGGTCCATGGATGAATCACCTGCCAAAAGGGGGCTTGGGGACCAATTTTCGTTGGCCAATCCAGTGAGGGATGCTCTTTCTTTTTTTTGTGGGTCCCCATGAACACATCGGTTTGATGAGGATCCTGGGTGCACCTCCTTCAAGGCGCCCTGTCCTGGGCTTTGTGAAAAAAATCCTGAAATTCAGTGGGGGTTGTATTTAAGGATTCTCGCACCCCCCCCTCTGGCACAAATCCTTAAATTCGGGGGGGGGGAGGTTGCCGGGTGCTGTGTGCCAGCGGCCCACTGCGCCTCGGTCAAGTTGGGGTCCAAGAGCGGAGGCTCGCGCCAGAGCTGATGAGCGTGCGCCGCGCCTTCAGCGGAGGGCCCAGTGGCCAGACAGGCCAACAGATCACTCCCCGAGGTCATCTGGATTTTTGTTCGCCACTTTGTGGGCTGGGACCGCTACAGTGGCAACAAAAAGGTTTAGATTTGCCCAATCCATGGTTTTTGTTGGGAAACATTTTACATGTTTGCTTATTGTGGTTTCGTGGTTGAGCTCCCCAAATAACGGCTATAATTTAATATAAATTGTTGCGCCCCTTCCAACGTCAACCAAGCAGACATCCAATCGAGTTGCTTAGCGGCTTGACCGCGCTTGTTTGTCACGCTGTTCTTGGCGGCTTGTGAGGGCGCTGGAAAGTGTCCAACTCTCTAAATTCCGCAAATTGTTTCGAGCTCACCTATGATGCAGGCCCTAGTTCTTATTATTTTCGATTTCTTGTGATTTGTGCATTTCCTTTGGATTTCGGAAGGGCGCGGTGAGCCCAGACCTCCAGATACCCCTTAGTTGGCTTGGATTGGGGGTTTGGTGTGTTGAACCCCTGATCCTTGTAGAGCGTAGATGGGAAACCGGCCCCTCAGCTCCAAACCACAAGTCCAAGCCACCAATGAGACGGAAACAGGTTTTGCTTGGGGGGACAAGGGCTTTCCCTTCGGAACCAAGTCCCAAATACAGGGTGGCTTGTTTGCCAACATGCACCGGAGGTTTGGGTGATGACCCCGGAACAATCAGCCTGGTGGATTGCTTTAGCCGTCTCAAAAGTGAAGAAGTAAGAAGTCCTTCCAAAGTGGAACGCCGATTAAAATCAACCTGGTGTTGATTAAACTATGATTTCCTTGTTTCAAGCATTTCTTTTTGGGCCCATTTAAAAGAGGGAGTTCCTTTTCAATGAGGTGAGGTCAAAAGAGGAAGGGCACCTCATCCCCTCACTTGCCCTTAGCTCCGAATCGACCGGAGCTGACCTTTGGTTTTCCAGTTTTGATCTCTATTTAGCAGGGCTCCTTCAAAGATACATTTTGCCCACTTGAAACATGGCTTTCTCCACCAAAATTAAGGGACACCTCCATTTACAAGGCAATGTTTAGGTGTATAATGTAAGGATCCCTGTTTAGTCAAGGTTCCAAAAGGTCAACCTCTTGCGGGTCTCTAATTGGCACCCTAGCAATCCTCCAATCGCAAGATCCCCCGAGCTAATCGCGCCCAATCGCAAGCGCCTCAGCTCAGGCCGGGCACAGGTTTACTCAGGCTTCCTGCTGAACATATCCAAGGCATGGGTTGCAGATGGACCCAAATCGCGAACGGTTGCCGCGGGTTCGCATTCATCAGAACCCATTGTACGACCCCCCCTGAGATTTTCAGCAGTCTAGCAAAGAACTCGATTTGGGGGGACCGGGCCAATGTATGTGTCACTTCCTTGAATCACCTGTTGGCACGATAATACATGAAAAGTCAAAATATAGGCCGTAACTGAAACTGAGTTTTGGCTGGAAGTAGTAAACATCCGGACCCTGAGATACGCCCTCTTTTGCAGCTTTGTTTCTCATCGCCGTCCGCGCTTCCGAGGTTGGCTCAGCAGGGCCAAGAAACCGGTTGCATCGGCTTGTATCCGGCAATTTATCGAGCTTCCATTTCCTGAAGAGTATTTTTCCCTGTTGGTTTTGAAGGGGATCCGTCACTACTGGAAATACGTTGTGTCCTTTTGGTTTCCCTTTAAACCCAAAAGCGCCCATGAGAGGTGCCAGTGGTGCATGGCGGCTTGTTTTTCATAGAAACTCCAGGGAAGCAAATGCAGGTGGAGGAGGACAAAGTGAACTACAAGCTGGGAGCATAGAGATGCTTCTGAGAGAGGTGTGTTAGGTTTTGCAAATTCGACCTTCTCTTTGCTGTGCAGAGTAGTTGGTGTCACTTGCTGGGTTCCTGAACTTCAACCACTTTCTGGGATGACCATTTCAGTTGAACACAAATACTTTGGACATGATTTGGCCAATCCAGACTTGCCTGCCTTCACACATTTTGGACCCAATCGACATGTCTACTTGCTTGGTTTGGTGGTTTCGAAATAAAATAATCGGGGGGCGTCCCACCCCACTTGGGTCAAATCCCCAGACCAGTCCAAAATCAATCGGCACGGGTGATGTGAATGGCCAAGCGTTCGCACGGCACACCATGGGAGAGTAGGGCCACCACCCCCTGGTTTGCCAAAAGCTGGACTGAGTGCTCCACTTCGAAGTTCGGTGAGACAAACAAACCTGCTTGCTTGCTCTAGAATTAGGTTGCAAGCTCACCTGAAAGCCTCCCGCATTGACTCACGGCCTTGAAGCTTTTTGGGTTTGGACCATATCCCAGTGGAACACAAAGAGTTTGGACTTGTTTGGGTCCGTCCACGAAGGATGGGAAGTGAGTTAACAACCAACCGCGAGAGGGATCCAACCACAGGATTTCCATTGTGACCTTCCATTTGCTTAGGAGTATGTTTCTTTTCTTCCCCTGTTGGTTTTAAAGGGAATCGATTTCACTGCTTGACCTTTTGTTTTTCTCCAGGGGTCTTAACCAAATGGAAGTCACGGTGGCTCCGGCTTGTGCGCTTTGCACCGGCCCCGAGGCAGGAGCTCTTCGTATGGGAGGCGGGCCGATCCGGGCGGATCCGGGCGGAGTCCTCATCGGCCAGGGCGGCGAAGTTGCTCCCCCAGTGACTAGACTTCAACCTTTGGCTTGCAAAAAAACACAATTTCAGTGGCAACAGCATATTTTGTCTGGGAGAATTGGTCTTGACTTGTTCAGCCAACACACTCAGGAAGTCAGCGCCCAGATGGGGTCATTTTTTTGGGTATGTGTGGTCAGTCTTGGAGCCAGCACTTCTTGTCCCCGAATTACGTCCGAAGGAAAGCTTCCTTTTTTTTGCCAAGGTTCTTGTTTACATACTGTGGATGGACAACATCCTGCACCACTTTGAATGCATTTGAAACCATTTTTCATCAGTATTTACAGGTGAATCCTCCTTCCAGGGTTTCTCAGGTGGTGCAGGATGTCGTCCATCCACAGTATGTCCAACAACAATACTGGAAGTGGGCAATTGGAGGGTTGTGGAAGACTGTCATTCTCTTGAACCGCCATCGGCCTACTTAAATCAATGATTGATAGAAGGCGTGTCATTGCTTCAAGCAGACATGAGACCGGCCCATTCGCTTGCGGTGACATTTGCACGTGCACCCCTGAAGGAATTGTTTGAACAATGGCTTCAACATGGAGGAGCGGAACCATTGCCCTTCTTTTAGACTTGACTGCTATTGGGTTGGATCTTTAGTCGTTAACTTTTTGGTTGGAATAAATGTGTTTTCTACTAAACCCCCAAACAAGTTAAACACTTTTTGCAGGGTTAACATCAGCACGTGGGTTAACCCAAAAGGACCAGCAGGGAATGTTCATGAAGGGAAAGAGCAGAACCCTTTTCCCTTTAATTGAGTTCAAACAATAGCATGGTTCTTGTTGGGACACATTTTGCACTTTTGCTTGTTGTGGTTTAGTGGTTGAAATCCAACCACTTAACTGCTAAAGTTTGGATTTTTTGCTCCCCAAACCCAAGGTCAACCGAGACAGGGCCGCAGTCTTGCCAGGATCTCGTCTTCAACTTCCAAGCCTTTGAGGTTGTGAGGAGCAACCGCTTCGCCCGGGCCCCCTGGCGGTGTTTTGACGGTGTGCATGTGGTCAACATGTCCTTTAAGGGTTGGCAACCCAAGGGGTTCAAGGGTTCAAAAGCAGGGTCTTTTGAGCACCTGTTGGGGAAAATTGTTCGACCCCCTCGTAGTGAAGGATTCCTTTTTGAGGGGGTCGCCCATGTTCTCACAAAAGGCGGCAAAAAGACCACCCTGTTCAAAAGGCCCTTTGGTTCAAGGGCGAACCTACCCTGGTGCCCTTTTTTCATGTGGGGGTTCTCCCTTGAACACCAGCTACCGAGAGAAAAAAAGATGCCCTTCATGGCCACTGGGCCACTAGGGGTCTGAGCAAACTTCTAAAAACTGCGGCTGGTACACGATAATGTCCCACAATATGGGGCGCTGTTTCCAAGGTCTTTCGAAAGTATTTTGGAAAGATAATTTTGGCAACAACTAGGGATCCATCCGGAGTACCATGATTATCAGAGTACATCAGCTAGAAGGGGAACCACTCCTGAGCCACAATCAAAACCTGGCTAGATGAAGGTTAGCAAGGGATAATCCCAACCATAAACAGCTGCGGCCGCCTGCTTAATTCTTGAAGCATGGTTCTGGGATTACGGCCATTTTACCACCGGGTTTTGATTATGACTCATGTCAGTCAAAGGCCAAGCAGTTCGGAGTTTTTAGCCACCCAACTCGGCGGCGCACCCTTGCAGGGCTACAGGTTTAGGGCTCACATCACTTCCCCCCGAAGAAAACCGCCGCGAGAACCCGCCCGTAGAATATAGCAGTGTTCCGAGACACATTTCCCGAGTTCCTTGGTTGGTTCGGTCTTTTTTGGGAAGACCAGTTTCTCACTTGTTCAGTGGCTCCAATTAATTTTCCTCTTTTTTTTGGTGGCCGCACTCAAATAGCCCACAAAAGGGTTCCTTTTTTTTCCAGGGTCACTGAACAACTGAGGTTTGGCAACAATGTACTTTCAGACTCTTTGGATCTACTCTGGAAGTAAGAAAAACACTTCCAGAGGTCCTTGGGACGTTTCTTCCTGTCTTTAGGCAGCACTCCCAATTGGCCCTTTTGGTGGTTTTGTCTTTCCACCTGGTTTCCCTGCTACTGCTATATCAGCCTGGTGACCTTAGCCCAAGGGGGATTCCTCCCCATCAATTCCGCCAATTCACATCCTTCCATTTACTTAATAAAACACATGTTCACTGGAACTATGTTTGTAGCGAATCGACCTGTTGACCTTTTGGTTTCCCCTTTAGACAATGGTTCGTCATGGCCCCAAAAGGCACTCACCTGTATCTTCCGGGTCAAATCTGCTCACCTGAGGAAATCACAGTCTCAAAACAGCCGCTTGACCAGTTCAAAGACATGTTGGCCACCCTCCCCTCAAAAAGGACACATTCACTCTACCGCCCCTGGGATTCCAGCTCCATGGCCTGCACGTTGACGTCCCCCTGGAGCCCAGCTTGATGGATAGGAAGCCGCATAAAAGGGCGAGCGGTTTTCCGGGTACAACTAGATCCAGCTAGGCGCCCGTGAGTTCACCCCAATTTGGGTTGGGAGGGGAACCCTACCAAACTAGACCCTGGTGATTTTCCCATCATTTTGAAGCGTCCCCTGAGTTGCTGTTTTGTTTTCGGAGAAGGGTGCATGGGCAGAGTATTGACTAGGTCCCCTAGCTAGGTGCCCTTTCTTTTACCCTTTTTTGGTTGGGAGGATTTCCCTACTAAAATAGACTACAGAAACAAGTTGGTCCCTTCTTCTAACCTCTCTACTGGAGGACCTAGACAGGTTCTGGGGCTGAACGGGGGTGACTTTGGTAACATCATGAGGCCAGAAAGTGGCGAGCACCGGTTTTCCTGTTACAACTAGGTCAACAAAAAAAGCAAAAAGTGGGTACCAACTCCTTCTAAACTCTCTACTCGAGGACCTAGATTGTGGGCCCTGAAGTAATTTCGACCTTGGATGAATCCGGGGAACCCTACAAATCAGAGGAACCACCTAAACTCGATGATTGCGGCGAGCAAGGGTTTGTGACAAACCCTAGGGGGCCAAGACCTCATGATTTACAGTCTTTGGGGGTTAAAGGCCTTCGTCTAAGTCCCCCAGCTAAGTGCCCTTTTACCAACTTTTTGGGGGGAGGGTTCCCAACGTCAACCAAGGAGAGAGAGAGGTCCCGCAGCTAGGTGCCCTTTGTCGCCCTTTTTTTGTTGGGAACCCCTAGTAAAATAGACTACCCCAAAAAGGTGGGTACCAACTTATGGGATAGACTCCCCAGCTGAAACCCGGCATCAACTCAGTTATTCAAAGCCGACCTTTTGACCTTTTGGTTTTCCCATTCTGGTCCATTTTTAGTAGAGGTGCCAAAAGGTGATCACCTTTTAGTTCTGGGTCCTTTGGGCAACTGAGTCAATCCCGCAGAAGATCAGTGCCGAGGCCATGATGAAGCAGCCCTTCTCCACCGGGGGCTGCTCCGCGCAGGTGGCGCGCAGCGCCAACCCCCACGTGCGCGCTGGGGCCCCGGAAATCGGGAGGCTCAAACCTGGAGTCTCCATGACCCTTAGTAGGTCCAGTAGTGCCCTTCTCTCCCCTTGATCGGTTGGGAGGGTTCCCCTACTAAAGTAGAGTACAGAAACAAGAAAGGGCAGCCTTCTTCTAACCTCTCTGCTGGAGGACCTAGCTTAAACCATGGGGTCATTGCCCAAGGGGTCATGGACCCATTTTTTAAGGGTCATGGAGAGGTCCGCAGATTCGATTTGGGGGGGAGACAAGAACTTCCAAGGAACACGTGTGTAGACCCAAGGGCCCTTGACCTCCTAAGAGTCGTTTAGACATGTTTTGAACAGAGGTTGACCCAACCGCTTCATGGCAAATTCGACCCCTCCCAGAGTTCCTGGACTTCGTACTTTTGGAGGACCTGTAAAGCCGTATGGCAATATATATTTTTCGGACGGAACCCGTGTTGGGATCTTTTTTCCCGTACGGTCATGTTTTTTCTGGCCTTTGGCCGTATTTGGCCGAACAACAAAATGTTGACAAAAAACCGTAACTGACCGTATGGCCATTATTGTTCTGCCCAAGCCATATGGACAGAACAAAGCGTCACATATGGGTTTCCAGGAAGACCATTTTGGTGGCAAACAAAAAGTTTGGTTACTTGTTTCGGCCAATCCGCGGAGGATCGGAAGTGAGAGAGACCTTCATTTATAGTTGTTCCCCTTTGTGGAGAAGCCTAGAAAATGACAAAACGTTGGACATTCACACCCGTTCGCAAGTGAAGGAAGCCACATTGACGGAGGCAAGCACACGGACGAGCCATCAGCTATCGCCAAGATTGCTCCAACAATTTGTCTCGAAGGCCTGGTGGAGTGAAGCCACTTGTCTCACTTCCTGAAATGTCCGTTTTGGACGTTAGCCGCTTGGAAGGGTCTTGGACCATTTGAGTGGTAAACAACAAGTCTAGGTCCCCCAGTAGTCCCTTTTTTGGGGAGATTCGGTTCCCCTACTACAACAGGCTACAAAAAAGGACCCCTATTCTAACCTCCCCGCTGGAGGACCTAGAAGTTGGGTTACTTGTTTTTGGTACACTGCCGGACCGGAAGTGAGTTGTCAAAGGCTGTTCGGGTTCCACATGTACGCCCTTACGCGGGGCAAGTCGGGCAAAAGGAGGTTCTTCTCTCAGAGTGTTGTTCGGTTCCAGGGCATTCGACAGAGGAAGCCTGACTTCCATTTGCTGAAATGAATATTTATATATATATATATTATTTTCCCCCTGTTGGTTTTTAAAGGGAATGGATGCCTACTGGACATATTTATTTTAATTTTGTCCAGGGGGCGATATTCAGCAAATGGAAGCCTCTTCAGGCCAACTGTTCCTCAGGACATCTGAAAGTGGGGGACTTGGCCAAGTTCGATTCGCCAAAAAAAGTACGTGGTTAGCTTCCTGGGTTGTCGCCCACCAACAGGCTTAAAAAAACCTAGGTTACCACCAACTTGCAAACTTGGCGAATCGAACATCCAAGTACAGGAGGAAATCGATCTTCCAGGTTCCATCCTGTGGCAATTTTCGGTCCATTTACCTGGCAGCTTCTACCCTGAACATTGTGGTTTAGAGGGAAGCCGCACCCAAGACTGCCTTTGAGCCCTCAAAGTGTTGTTCTGTCCTGACAGCCTCATGGACCTTTTGGGGGGGCTATGGGGAAGGGGCTATCCCTTATTAACCCGTTAGGGCTTGTTACGGGGCATATCCTGGGCTTATGCGGGCATAGCCCCCCCCAGGCTCTCCTAGGGCTCCAGTCTTTGTGCCCAGCTCAGCACCTTGGGGCTCGAACTGTGGCCCAATGGTGGCGTTGACCGAGAGCAAGCTGGACGCCGATGCTTTTCCGGCGTTCGGAGGGCTGTTGGAAGCCTGCCAGGACTGGTTGCTCGGAGTGACGGAGCTATGAGCTTTGGCTAGGCTAGCTGCTGGTTGGAAGAGAGGAGCTGGGGGTATCCAAGTTGTATTTGAAGAGGGAGTCAAGGGTAAGGACATGGTAGTAGGGAATTTCCTGAAGAGTGGCTGGTGGATACGAATTTCCCCGCCTAAATGATGTCCACCCTTTAAGGTCCCCAATTGATATTCATGCCGGGTTGGCTCTTGCATCTAGCTTCCGTGGACCCTCACAAACCCTGCCCCGCAAAAACAAGCCAGAGAGGAAGCACATCTTCGGGCGCACAAACATACATACATACATATATATATATATATATTATATATTATATTGATCGATACATGGAGCTGTCTTTGTTTGAGGGTACGCTTTTGGAAGTCTCTTCAAAGGGAAGCTAAATGGAAAACCCACCGTTTGTGAGGTGCTCCATCATTTCTCGGCAATCCCCTCACCCCTCCACAAATAAAAGAAGTGGTTGTTCATATTGCTTTCCCCGAAAACCAACCAAAAGGGTTGTCCCAAAACACACACAAACACACCCACACACACGCAGGAACACACACAGGTATATTTGCACAGTTTAAGGCGAGTTCACCTGGGGGGAAAACGAGCTCGCCATGGTAGAGATCCTTTACCGAGGCATCCAATCCTTACTTCAGGTTTTGGAAATACTGTAAATTTGGCAGATTGCTTCTACATTTTATACATATATTTATACAGATATATTATACATATGTATATACAAATTATATATGTATATATAGATATGCATGTTTCCATTTATACATGCATATATACATGTATATGTATTGTTTCCCTTTTGACGGGGCGTTGTCGAACGAGCGAGCGATAGGACTATGCCAGCCTGAGCGGCGGCCGTTTTCAGGGCCACGCCTTTGAGAAGGAGAGTGGGGAGGGTGACTTCAAGGCGCGGCTTTGTCCAGAGAGAAAGATGCACACGTACGTACGTAGTAAGGGGGTCTAACGACGATATGAGAAAAAAGAACAACGACAAGAAAACGTGTAACGATGAAATGGCCTTACAGGACACAGGATGAAGGGAGGATGAGGCTTTACAAGCCAAGAGCAAGCTTGTTGGTTACCTACTATAGTGGCTTGCTTGGGTGTTCAATTGGCCAAGTTAGCAAGTTCTTGGTATCTTGGGTTGTAGCCTACCTATAAGTCCCCCAAGTGCAGTTTGTCTCGTTGTACATAGGGTATAACCTGTACGCACGTACATACGTATGTACATACATACGTTCATTCATACATTCCTGCATACACAATATGTATGTATACATGTACACATTCATTCATGCATACATATATATATATGTATATATATATATGTGTGTGTATGTGTGTATGTATATGTATGATCTGTGGATGTATCATGTATCTACGTATGCCTTGAATTGTTGGCATACACATATAGAATCATACTTAAATTCATATACATATATATGTGTATATATATACATGTATTCATGCATGCATATATGTAGATGTATATGTACATGTGTATATGCATATGTATATTTGTGACATGCCTATGCATCTACATATTATGCAGTTCATGAGCTCGCCCCTTGGACAGCCAAATTTGGCAGGCAGGTGGGGCACACCACCCAGGTTTTTCCTTTACGCTCCCCACCCAAACCCTCCGCCCCCAAACCCTCCACCCGGGCGTCCTGCAGAATCCGATCAGCCATCGACTCATGGTGAAGCGCAAGCGTGAGCAAGATCACGTTTCCACCCCACTACACTGAATTATCACCAGTTGTCCAAGGCGAATCCACCTGATAACACCTTTTCGTTCCCCCATTCTGGTTTCCCCACGCTGCACATGTTGTTTTTTTTCGTGGCCCCAACAGGTGATCACCTGGACTTGTGGGTCCTTAAGGCGCAAGCCTCTTTTCAACCCCAAAAAACGCAGCGCACTCCGAAGCGCACTCCAAACTTTGCAGGCGGCGGTGCGAAAGGCGGCGGCCAAGGCGGACGTCCGGGCGAGAGCGTTTGTCGTTTTTTGTTGTTTCTCCATCGCTTGAGTCACAAAACTCACTTGCCCAAAGCGAATCGACCTTTTGACCTTTTGGTTTTTCAATTTTGGTCCAGTTTTAGTAAAGGTCCCAAAAGGTTAACCTTTTATTTCCTGGTCTTTTGGGCAAGTGAGAAAAATCAGGTTATCCCCAATTGGTGGTTCATGGTTGTTGTTGGGAAACATGTTACGCTTTTGCTTATTGTGGTTTAGTGGGAAATGCCAACTCAACTGCTAACACTACAGTGTTTTCTCCACTTCCAACGTCAAACGTCAACCAAGGGTTTGTATTGGTGGGAACTGGAGATTTGAACCCCGGTTAACAAGTCAAAAGTTAGGAAGTTGTTGGGCAGGGGAGTAGCCATCATGCTACAACCGGGCAAGTACAGGTGGAGAACGGTTAGTGCGAGCCAACTGATGCGGAACTTTATGCCTGGCTAATCTTTACATGGCTTTGGATAGACTACCTGGGGCCACCTTTTGCCTATGTGCGGGTCCCTCAAAAGCTACATGTGGGCCAGTCAAATACCCTTAGATGATTTAGGACCCCTTGCACATCAGATGATTTTTCGGCGTACAAGCAGACCTTGCCATGATACAGACTTTTTACTTGCAATCCCGGGCAATCCCTTAAGGTTTTGGGTGTTGGAAGTGTGCCAAGTGCGGAGCGCGTATTTCCGGGCCCCTGAAACGGGGTAAACGTGTTCTCATAAACAGGTTCCCACTTGCACCAAAAAGAGAACCATGTTTGTAGCATCCAAAAGGAGTCCATGTGTTCGAACCTATTTAGGGTGACTCAATTCACTGACACTGTTGCGTTTTGGCAAATTTTCAGTCTTCCATTTAAGCTCGAGGAATCTCCCAAGGCGCTTTCCCATGTCATAATTTACCGGGACTGTTCAAAGACAGTGGGTTCTCACTGCACCGAGTGGTTACCAAGAACACACCAACTTGGCAACGAACACCCAGCACTGCGATCCTTCCCTTACGCAAGGAGTTTTGTTTGTAGTGATTCCCTATTCCCTTTAGACATGACTTGGGAT